TCCATGACGTCCTGTCTCAATATTGAAATTGTGTGAGCTTGATCTGAATTGAGCCAGCTTTTTGGATTCAGCGTGCGACAGATTCATATTGAGGTACTGCTCATAGCCAAAACTCATCTTTATGGTGTTGTAGAACGTTAGTTTCTTGTTGTTCCATCTCTCAGTGTTCCATATCTGCCTGAAGTTGGAACGCATCGCTTCTTTGATTTGTGAAGGTGAGAGTTTTAGATGATGTCCATTGGGTTGGTTTAGAACCGACCGTGCGGTCTCGATGTTGGTGTTCCAAGAAAGACTGAGGCTGCGTTGCTCTTTGAAGGCATGTCGCACAAGACTGTTAGATCCAGCTTTCTCCATTTTATCTAATCTTTCCCAGTAGTTATACACTTGGGATGATAGCTCTATCGCCAAAGGGTAGCGTCCTGTGTCACCCCAAATTGCCGCATTTGATGTTTGTTTATTGACGTTGAGAGTCCACTTGAGAAACGAGATGTGAAGTTTTTCTATTGGATCTTGCCTGATCTGTTTTAGGTTGGGAAAGTTACCCGATGAGAAGGCACCCATGAAGTATGTCTGAGGGAGCCAAATCTGGCATCCATAAGAGACTACTGGGACAATAAGTGCATCGAAGAGTTTAAATATTATCTCTTTCCTTATGTGTCGTAAGTCTATCATGCTTTTAAGCGAAAAATAACTCCGAAGTCCTTTCTGCCTAAGTTTGGACTGTGCGACCTTCAGGGATCCTGTCAGAGTGAAAGTCATTCCTAGGTACGTGTACTCACGAACTGAGTCGATCGGTGTTAAACCAAAAGCGAAGGTCTTGCTGTCTTTGAGTATACGACCAGCGCGGTTGAACACCATGATAGCGGTTTTAGACATGTTGACCACTAGGCCCCACTCCTGACAGTAGGCGTACAGAACAGAGAGCATTTTATGCAGACTTTCAGGATTCAAAGCCAGAAGTACTAAGTCATCAGCCCAGAGCAGATGTGTCACCTTGATGGAGTTAATGATGGGCACTTCGATGTTATCTAGCTCGTTCAGTTCTTCGGAGAGGGCATGTACGAAGCATTTGAACAGTTCCGGGGACATGGGATGCCCTTGTTCAGTCCACAGAGGACGTCAATCTTCTCAGAGAGCTTGTTGAGGAGTTTTATTTTTGCAGATGAATGGGTGTACATGTGTTCCATACAATTGAAAAATCGCCCTTGAACTCCTAGTTTCCAAAGTTTGTAGAGTAGCGCTTCCCTACAAACAGTGTCAAAAGCCTTTGCATAGTCTACAAAGCAAGAGAAGACTCGTTTCTTTTCGACTTTAACATATTTTTCAATGCATGTTGAGAGCGTTAGTATGTGATCTGCTGTTTGAGCACCCTTGCAGAAACCCAATTGGTTTGGAGTATCAGGGTTCACTACGGATCTAAATTCAATTAGTCGGTTGAGCAAAATTCCCGCAAAGAGTTTTCCCAAGTTGCTGGCCACTGCTATCGCACGGTAGTTGTTTGGGTCATAAACATTACCCTTTTTATGTAGCGGAGTCACGACAGATGTGCTCCACGGGTAGACACCAAATGACAGACATTGGTTGAATAGGTGCAACACAGCTGATTGCATGTTATTTCCCGATGATTTTAGGAACTCATTAGATATCATATCTTCGGACACTGCCTTATTTTTTTTAAGCGTCCTGATGTTGTTACACAGCTCTTCAGAAGAGATATCATGGTCGAGAATTTCCGTAATGCTTGATTGCGTGGTGTCTTTTACCATCTCGTTTTGTAGCCCTGTGATTTTTAGGTTGTCCATAGATGGTTTGCTGTAAAGATCTTTGAAGAATTTACAGAAATTGAACATATCAAACACGTCCAGCGTACTGTCTTTAGTTTTCATCTGTTTGAGTCTCTTGAATCTCCCCCAGTTGACATTTTTGCCTGACTCAATGTCTCTGCAGAGTTCTTCAATGAAGGCAGACCTCTTCGACTTGATGAGTTTCCTATAAGATCGACGCGTATCGTAGTACAATTCCCTGAGATATTGACTTGATGGGTTTTTCCCGTATGATTTAGCCAGCCTATTAAGCTCCCGTTTGCTGTTGATGCATGACCCATCAAACCATGGGGATTTTGGCTTCATCCGGTGCCTTTTGACTCTGTTCTTACTTCCTGGTTTCGGTTTGGTTTGCGAGTTGGATTTTTTCGGCAAAACCGTGCCCGCTAATTCCTGGTACAGAGAGACGAGATTACTATTAAGTTCGAGTACGTCGTTTTTATTGTTGCAACGGGTTGCCGATATCCTGGTTATCTTCGTTTGGAATTCCGGAGAATTTTGAGCAGCCAGAAAGTTGAAGTGAGTCCCTTCGTCTTCGTTGTTCCATTTGTATTTAGTGGGCGCATCTTCAAGAGAATCGAGAAGATCTGACGTATCAATTGTGGAGTTAGTACACTTCAAGTCACAAATGTAGGGTTTGTGATCAGAGTGCTTGTTCAGCTCAAGGATTTTAAAAGAAAGTACCGCTTCTTTGAGGTCAGGGGTAGCTGCCATGTAGTCAACTACACTGCATCCATTATAGTTGACAGATGTGAACTCTCCAAAGATGTCCCCTAAAGTACATCCATTGAGAATTTGGAGTTTGTTACACGCCAGGAAGTCCAGTAAAAGAGATCCCCTGGCATTGACTATTTGGTCCTTACTGGCTCTTTCAGTGGTTCCAGGGTAACTTGCTGTATTGAAGTCTTCAGGATCTGAATCGGGCTCGAGTTCTTCTGCAGCAACGTTACGGTTCCCTGTACGAGCATTCAGGTCTCCAACCAGCAGGATCTCACCCATATTTGGATTCTGTGCTCTGAACTCCATGATTTGCTCTAGAGTGGTCATTTGGGGGTTTGGTCCACTCCCTTTGGCTTTACGTTTGGCTTTGTATGAAGACTGTTCCGGAGAGTCGTACACATTAATAATGGTGAATTTGCAGTCGTCTTGCGGAAAAATTGTCACGGCTTGGAAGTCAGGGCAACCTGTATTTAACCTTTTCACTTTTCCTGAGAGTGAGCGGTGAATTCCGATACAGATACCTCCTGAGCGAGAGTCCTTTCTAGTGCTATTGAAGCATTCATAGTTAGGTAGGAAAAATTCTCGCTTCGTTTCCTGGAGACAAAATATTGAGCTCTGCAGCAGCACGTCTACAAAATCCTTGTCATCCGTTTTTGGTCCCTCCTTACTTGTCATAGAATCGTGGACATTCCATGATAGTATTGGGAGATCCTTGAAGACGGTCACGTGGTCTCTAAAATGTGCAGATGCGTTTTCACTCATTTGTGTTTTTTTTATTTGTGCGTCGAGATAGGTTAAGTTTAGTTTCGCGGTCTCGGTTCAAACCAAGGGATCTTTGTAGCGCATCTTTAAGGAGGAGCCAAGCTTTCCTTTTGCCTCCTTCGGACAGGAAGATGGTCACACCGTGACTATCAGTTCCTCTAGTTATGTATCCGCCTAACTGATCGTTGCTTGAGGTGAAAATGCGGTCGCCGTACTTTATCCTTGAATCTCTTCTCAAGTTCGAAATGAAGGATGATAGACGATCATTGACGATTCGGATCGTCTCGTTAAGGTTAGGATAACCAGGGACAGGGATAATAAGGGATATACAGATCTTTGCTTCTGTTGATTCCAGGAGTTTGTATATGACTTGTTTGTATTTAGAAAGCAGATCATCGGCACTGGTCCTCTGCCAGAAGATGTCCTGGTGTCCTACATGTAGGAGTACAATCTCAGGTTTTAAGTTCCGCACTTTGGATAGTAGACTGCCCTTTGTAAGGATGTCGTCAACTGAGAACGCTCTGTACTTGTTTATGTCAAACTGTCCACTGAATCTGTCGCTATCGAAATCATCGAAGAGGTCGTCGTATACAATTAGGCACTTCCTCTTGTGGGGTGCTTGGGTAGCACCTGACCGCCGGGGCTGAAGAACATTGGTATTCACGCGCACGGGGTGATTGGTATTTAGTTTTACTTTAAGAGGTGCTTTGTCGTTGACTTTAGCTTTGTTTTCGATCATAACACTGACCTCTGTCGGAGTGGGTGTACAATGTTGAACTTGCTGCGCTATTTCTTGGTCTTTGAGTATTTCATTCATCTCAGGGTTTAGATTACCTTTTATGGGTATTGTGAGAGTGTCAGGGGATGGTGTTTTTAACACCGGTATCGCTTGAGGAGGCACTTCAATCACGTCATCACATTCCCACACATCAGTTGTCTCACATATCTCTATTTCTTCTTCGCTAAAAATAGTATTGCTTGGCGGTGGCAAAACAGTTGCCTCCTCCGTTTCTTCCTCAACCACGTGAACATTCGACTTTTTATCTCTAGCTTTTGAGTACCTATGATCAAGGTTGATGGTAGATCTTTGGATGTTTGCTAACCAGCAATTTTTCCTAACAAATGCAGTCTGAATATTAGAGATAATATAAATATTAGAGATAATACAACATTTCCCCGGTACCCCGACAAATGCAGTCTGAATATTAGAGATAATATAAATATTAGAGATAATACAACATTTCCCCGGTACCCCGACAAATGCAGTCTCAATATTAGAGATAATATAAATATTAGAGATAATACAACATTTCCCCGGTACCCCGACAAATGCAGTCTGAATATTAGAGATAATATAAATATTAGAGATAATATAAATATTAGAGATAATATAAATATTAGAGATAATATAAATATTAGAGATAATATAAATATTAGAGATAATATAAATATTAGAGATAATATAAATATTAGAGATAATATAAATATTAGAGATAATACAACATTTCCCTTCAGATCAGAGGGTTCAGTCATGAGGGTCTGACAAAAACAAAACCATTAATAATGGAGGAACGCTCCATGACTGTTGCCTTACTCTTTCCTATTAGCGAGGATATTACCTGCTTATATTCTAATGATATGTTTGATGAAGGAGAAGGTGATACACATGCAAATAACACGTGATACTATTTGCAGGAGAAGGTGATGAAGCAAGACCCATCCTCTCTAGCTGAGCTCCCTCAACTAACTGGCTCCCAACTAAACGCTCTCCTCACTCTCTTCGTGGCAGGTAACGTGAACTAAACACTACTACTGGTACTAGTACTACTCTGTTATTAGACCAGCACGTGAATTACTGAACACTACTACCTTGCTACTACTCGTAGCAGGGTACTACTACCTTGCTACTACTCTGTGAACTGAACACTACTACCTTGCTATGTTATTAGACCAGCACGTGAACTGAACACTACTACCTTGCTACTACTCTGTTATTAGACCAGCACGTGAACTGAACACTACTACCTTGCTAATACTCTGTTATTAGACCAGCACGTGAACTGAACACTACTACCTTGCTACCACTCTGTTATTAGACCAGCACGTGAACTGAACACTACTACCTTGCTATTACTCTGTGAACTGAACACGTATTACTGTATAAGTATTAAACCAGCGCACTGCCGATAGTTTCTCGTGGGAAAATGAAAATTAGGCTAAGTCGAAGACAAGGTATCACTCAATAAACTACCCCGGGTTGAGTGAATATGGGGCGGTATTCTAGAGGTGTTTATACTTTTATAAACTGATAAACCCATAAACTTCTTCAGTTTCAAACAAAAACATATTACGTTTAGGCATTTAAAATCAAGCTGAGTTTGAACGAATTGAATTAGCAGCTAAGCAGCTTTCAAACTGATTCGTGAATAATGAGTTTCCGGATCGCGAATTATAGGACTGCACCCGATATTAGCCAAGTTTGTTATTAAGTAAAGTAAAGTAAAATTAATTAATTAAATTAATTACAGCTGGAGCTCTACCAGAAGATAAAGTCCCGAAGAGCAGTGAGATCTTCACTCTGGAGGAACTGCAGAAGTCGGGACAGTATACTAGCGACCAAGGTAATACAATTTACTGTAATTAATTAATGATAAATTTAAATAAAGTCAGCTGTCTGACTTTTAAAACTATTCAGTAAGGTTCATTGATTCAAACTTACCCCCTAAAATATTCAGTAAATATTCAGTTAACTTATGTTCCCTCTGCTAACCCCTGTGTTACCATAGTAACCAGTTCCCCGTGTTACCATAGTAACCAGTTCCCCGTGTTACCATAGTAACCAGTTCCCCGTGTTACCATAGTAACCAGTTCCCCGTGTTACCATAGTAACTATAGTTCCCCGTGTTACCATAGTAACCAGTTCCCCGTGTTACCATAGTAACCAGTTCCCCGTGTTACCATAGTAACCAGTTCCCCGTGTTACCATAGTAACCAGTTCCCTGTGTTACCATAGTAACCAGTTCCCCGTGTTACGGTAGTAACCAGTTCCCCGTGTTACCATAGTAACCAGTTCCCCGTGTTACCATAGTAACCAGTTCCCCGTGTTACCATAGTAACTATAGTTCCCCGTGTTACCATAGTAACCAGTTCCCCGTGTTACCATAGTAACTATAGTTCCCCGTGTTACCATAGTAACTAGTTCCCCGTGTTACCATAGTAACCAGTTCCCCGTGTTACCATAGTAACCAGTTCCCCGTGTTACCATAGTAACTAGTTCCCCGTGTTACCATAGTAACCAGTTCCCCGTGTTACCATAGTAACCAGTTCCCCGTGTTACCATAGTAACTAGTTCCCCGTGTTACCATAGTAACCAGTTCCTTCTCCCAGCTGCAAGTCTGCTGACAGGAAATATATCTTTCCACCCTAACGCTGGACTATACGGAGGAGTACCTGGAGGGGTACCTGGCGGGGTACATGGCGGAGTGCCAGGGACACATCAAACATCTCTCGCGCCAGGTTACCATAGCAACTTGTTCATGATACTATTTGTTAAATAATGCAAATCTTTAAGAATTCTGATGCTCTAGTAGTAATTTATAATAACAATAAAACCCTAACAGGGTTGGTGTACACCAACAAACAGGGAGGCTCTCCTCTGGGACCCGCTCAACAAGGGGGCTCCCCCCTGAGTCCTGGTCAAACTGCCCCTCCAGCCCCTCCCGCGCCAGTTAGTTCACTTCTACTCCCTCCAGCCCCTCCCGCGCCAGTTAGTTCACTTCTTACTGTCTTGTAATATCTTAGCATTAGCTTAATTACACTTAAATAAGTAATGTTATCAAGCAACGTGTCCGTATAACCTCTCTAACCAGATAACTCTCCTAGAATGCGCCTAGAGCGCCTCTTCCACCACCTGCCCCTCCAGCTCCCAGACCACCTAATGCGCCTCCTCCACCGACCGCTCCACCCGCTCCTCGCCCTCCCAACGCACCTGCCATAGGTAGGTAACCACTAACCATGAGACCATGGTAACATAAGTTACGTAAACAACGTAAACTAACTTTTACATTTACAGCAAAGTTTTCTTTATTTGATTATATTATATTATATTATTAAAGTACTATTCTAATTGCAGGTCGGACAGCGCCCCCTGCGCCTCCTCCACCTAATGCACCTCCTAATGCGCCTCCCCCGCCGCCCCCTCCACCCGCAGCACCCCCCGTCCTGGATTCACGTATGATGGCTGGCAAACAGACTCCTGGAGGACCACCACCCCCTCCAGCACCCCCGGGAGCTTTTGTACCCAGAGGCAGATTGGAGGACCTCAAGAACAGAAAAGGTAGGTAGCCATTTAAAAAACTGTAAACAAAGGCTGGTAGCTGCAGTACTAAATAATGAATGTTTTGGATGATAGTAAAGGGGGTTGCACAGAGACAATAATCTTAGGGCCAAGGATGAAGGATTTAGGTTGTCTATGATTCTGGTTCTTTGCGGAAAAGTATAATAGTATTACAAGGTCTACAAGGTTTATAAGGTTTACAGTAGGATTAAGTAACCTAAATAGTTAGCTACTGCAATTGAAGCGGCTTTAAGCAACGCTATACAGTACTATGCAGACTACCATTGTAAAATGAATTGTACCAAGCGAGTCGTAACCAGGCAACCAAAACCAAATTCTAATCCTCTAAATCATAAAGCAGCTCAAAGTGAATTTATTCTGAGTTCGTCACATTATCGTCAATGAAGGGTTCTATAAAAGAGGTTTAAACTTGTGTAACCGTCAGGAAGGAAAGCCAGAAACAACACGGTGATAAAAAAGAAAACTCTAACATTCGGTCCTACCAAGCCTTTAAAGGTATTTAATTGGGCAAAGCTGCCCGATGCTAAAGCTGCTAACTGTATCTGGAAAGATATCGACGAAATCGATGTGAGTGTTTTATAATTATAGGGGTTATACTCTGAAATTTTGTGTGCTTTATTATTCGGTTTATTTCAACTTATCAAAGTTTAACGTTTACTAATAAGGGCTATTCTCAGATGGTTACGATGTTGAATTTAGATGAGATTGATGAACTTTTCCAGTCCAAAAAATCTGTTAAGGTAAGATTTTAATTGTTATCGTTATTTAACTTGCTGTCCGTTAATACTTAATACTTTAATATAACGTATTAATATCTCTAGTCGTATTGTATTTTGTTGCTATTTTTGTGATAAATGAAACTACAAGTTAGAAGTTAAGTTATCAAGCATCTTAAATAGTCTCAAATATGAATACCATGCAATTCAGGTTCAAATATCATTAAATAACACTTCTCAAATAGATACAGTCGATATATTACAAAATAAATAACACCATAAAAACGTTAACTAAAATGGAACAATGTCTTCCGGAAACCCTTTCCTTCTTAATAAAAGTTCACAAACGATAAAAACAATCAACAACGCAACATACATAAATAACATTACCTTAATGGTAGTACTACTATGGCAAAGTCACCATGGTAACCTTACTGCTAAGTTACCATGGTAACCTTACTGGTAAGTCCACAGTTAAAAGAAACCTGAGCATCACATCGCACGGCGACAAAAATGAATTTACAGCCGTTCAGGCTGTATTCTCGGAATAAATGAGCTAAACTAGAACTAAAGCTGGAACTAGAACTAAACAAGAGCTAAAATAGAACTAGATCGTCCTTATAACTTAACCAGCCCGCGGTCTGAAGAAGAATCCTGCTAACTCGTCCTGTGTGCTCTCAGTTCCATGTTCCACTGCACGTTTAACGTTGTCATGGTAACTCTCGGCGTTGTCATGGTAACTGTTATAGAGCTCAGCAGATCGTTTTCCGCCAGGTTTGAAGAAGAATCCAGCTGCTGCATCTTCAGAAGATTCTGTTCCTTGCTCACTTACACCGCGTTTGATGTTGTTATGGTAACGTCTCAGCGTTGTTATGGTAACGGTTCTCCGCGCTTCTCCCTCCCCTCGGTCTGAAGAAGAAAGCATCCTGGGGTCCCTCAGTTGCACTTTCAGCTACCGCTCTCTTTGCTTTGATCAAATGTAGGGGGTTTTTCGGCTTCATGAAGAAGCCTCTTGCAGCAGCAGCAGCTTGCAGCTTGTCAACCACTTGTTGAAGTGAGTTAGGTAGCTCAGCAGCTGGTTGAAGTGGTAGCTCAGCGGATCTCTTGCCGTATTTTTCTGGTTTGAAGAAGAAAGCTGCAGCTCTGTCCTCTGAAGTCTCCGTCCCCTCCTCTCCGGCTGCTCTCTTGTGTTCAGGTTTCCAGAAGAATCCAGACTGGTTGTCTATCGCTAGAATGCTTCCAGCTGAACTGATCGGAGCAGCATCTAGCTGTGAGATGAGGGCTAGGAGGAAAGCAGGAATCAGGAACATGTCGTCAATATATCCAGTAGAGATAGTAAAGTTGCTTGATAGTTGTTATCGAAACTGATGGTTTTCCATCCTGCCCCCTCATACTTATACCTTCCCGCACGGCTGGACGGGCCAGTGCCCTGCCCAATGGGCCGTCTCTTTGTAATGCACGAAAATACCCCGCCTCTCCGAGGCCCAGTTCCCGGACCTGCAGCTGCAGCTAATTGATTGCAACAACCTGGATGGTGCATGTTCATTAGCACTACGTCAAGTTTACTATAATTAGCAGCGTCGTAATGTCAACTGATAGGCGCGGATACAGACTATCCAACATGATCACATGCCAACTCACGTTGTTATGGTTACAAACTCACGTTGAGCGCAACACATGCAGCTCCTGGAAACAAACTCGCTACATCCGGACCAGTACATGATGAAAACAATTCTGAAAAGGTGCTAATGAGCACAAAGGAACACTGCTCCTTCATAATATCATCAGCTGGGCTGTATCCAGGGGAACGGTGATTAGCTTCAACAATGAGACACCTCATCTTGATACACAGTTTTCATGGTAACCTCATCTTGATACGGAGTGGAGACTGCTCCTTCATAATATCTTAAACTGTAGACAGCTCATAAAAAGAGGGTTAGGACCCAAATGAGCTCTCAGTCCGTCACAATGCTCCCCAAATCACGTCACCGTGTCCCTTACAAACCCACAGATGCGTCATTTTATCAGACTCCCATATGTTGTTACCATAGCAACTAGACTCTCACATGTTCGACAGCTCACCGGTTCGCTCTGTTACTCACCTTATTTCAGTATTGTTTCTAAGTGCCGCCCGCCCCATTATAGGGTGAAGGTAGGATTACTAACTGCTCAGACACGCTCCCTGTACTGCAACTGAATTAGCTCCCTTCCGCCAACCGCCACATTCCGGAAACATGCCGTTCTGAGCAGTACGTTACCATAGCAACTAGACTCTCACATGCTGTTCTGAGCAGACAGCCACTTATCACTGATTTCATCAAAACAAACCAACTTGGTGCCCTACCCCAGCACCCAACAATTTGGAACATTCTAATCCTATTATGAAGTACGAACCATGTGGCGAACTTTAAGGTTTCCGCATTAGTTTCCGCATTAATATTAATGGTTCATTTTATGGCTGCAATATCTTTTGGAGGAAATAACTTGCTTCATGAAATAAAACGTATGTATACAAAGAAAAGACAGGAATAAGTTTTGTTTTTAATTCATTTTTCGACTTTGTACAAGTATGTATTTACAAATTATTTACAAATTATTTACAAATTCCGGTAAAATCCGGGGCCGGACCGAGGTCCGTATTCTGAAAATCCAATTCTGAGTCCGTTGTCTGAAAGTTTGTAGTTTTAAAGTCCGTAGTCTGAAAACAGCATCTGAAAGTTTAGTAACCATGGTAACTGAAAGTTTAGTATTCCTCTTCTCCCTCTTCTCCTTCTGCTTCAATAGAGTCAACACCAACCTCTTCGTAGTCCTTCTCCAGAGCAGCCAGATCCTCCCTCGCCTCGGAGAACTCTCCCTCTTCCATTCCCTCTCCTACATACCAGTGGACAAAGGCTCTCTTGGCATACATGAGATCGAACTTGTGATCCAGACGGGCCCAGGCCTCAGCGATGGCAGTGGTGTTGGACAACATACACACAGCTCTCTGAACCTTGGCAAGATCACCTCCGGGAACAACTGTTGGGGGCTGGTAGTTGATGCCAACCTTGAATCCAGTGGGACACCAGTCGACGAATTGGATGGTTCTCTTGGTCTTGATGGTAGCAATGGCAGCGTTGACGTCCTTGGGGACAACATCTCCTCTGTAAAGGAGACAACAAGCCATGTACTTGCCGTGTCGGGGATCACACTTCACCATCTGGTTGGCAGGCTCAAAGCAGGCGTTGGTGATCTCAGCAACAGAGAGTTGCTCGTGGTAGGCCTTCTCAGCTGAGATAACTGGAGCATAGGTCACCAGAGGGAAGTGGATCCTGGGGTAGGGAACCAAGTTGGTCTGGAACTCTGTCAGGTCAACATTCAGGGCACCGTCAAATCGGAGGGAAGCAGTAATGGAGGAGACAATCTGTCCCATGAGCCTGTTGAGGTTGGTGTAGGTGGGTCTCTCAATGTCCAGGTTCCTGCGGCAAATGTCGTAGACAGCCTCGTTGTCGACCATGAAAGCACAGTCTGAGTGCTCGAGAGTGGTGTGGGTGGTGAGGACAGAGTTGTAGGGTTCCACGATAGCAGTGGAAACTTGAGGGGAGGGGTAGATGGCGAACTCGAGCTTGCTTTTCTTGCCGTAGTCCACACTCAGTCTTTCCAGTAGAAGAGAGGTGAACCCGGATCCGGTACCTCCACCGAAGGAGTGGAAGACAAGGAATCCCTGGAGTCCAGTACACTGGTCAGCTAGTTTTCTGATCCTATCCAGGCAGAGATCAACAATCTCCTTTCCAATAGTATAGTGACCACGAGCGTAGTTGTTAGCAGCATCCTCCTTGCCAGTGATGAGCTGCTCGGGATGGAAGAGCTGTCTGTAGGTTCCAGTCCTCACTTCGTCTACAACAGTTGGCTCCAGATCAAGGAACACCGCCCTAGGGACGTGCTTACCAGCTCCGGTCTCACTGAAGAAGAGAATATTGTTAATTATGAGCGATTAACTTAGCAAAGATGTCAAAATTAGTATTATTTGAAAACAAAACAATTCTATCAATGAAAAGTTGCAAGAACAGGAGAATCCATGATAATCTTATTTTCGAGCCACATGTACTTAGAATCCGATCTGACTGAGCTGCGATATATTGAGGCCCAAGGTTGTTAAATACGTATTAGGAGGGAATACGTATTGGAATACGAATACGTATTAATCCTCGAAAATTGACGTATTACGAAAAGGTGTGGCTTGAAGTTGAAATTGATCGCGGACGGTCTTTAAATTCTGAACATCAAAATCATTAAATATGTATTAATATGTAATTGATAATTTCGCAAAAAATGTTAGCTTATCGAATTATCCATGAAATTTTATTACAAATTTAAGTTATCATGTATAACTGCACTCCTTTAATGCATGATCAATGATGAGGGTGGCGCGCAGCTGTATAAATGTTTAATTTTGACAAATCAGCGTATTACGGCGTATTATGGCGTATTCGTGGACGTATTTAACAATCCATAGAAATTACCGTATTACGGCGTATTACGACGTATTCTTTATTAGAACCGAATACGTCGTATTCTTTCACGAAAATTTGACGTATTTAACAACCTTGTTGAGGCCGAGCAAATTGTTATGAGTTAAACTATGGGACGTAGATCTACTAAACTATTAATTACCTAAAGAAAGTGTTAAAAGAGTCGTCCCCTCCGCCGATGGTCTTGTCAGAAGGCATCTGACCATCAGGCTGGATACCGTGCTCCAGGCAGTAGAGTTCCCAGCAAGCATTACCAATCTGTACTCCAGCTTGACCGAGATGAACTGAGATGCACTCACGCTGAAATAACACGTGTTAGTTGCCATGGTAACAGCACGGACGAGTATGATATGGTTTACAAGTCAAGTGTAAGTTTAGCTGGAATCGCAAAGTTAAATTCTTTAAAACTAAAAGTCTAAAATATCGGTAGAAAGACGGACATTATAGATTTAATTTAAGAAAGAAGCAAATATAACTTACCATTTTGAATTAAGAAATCGTTTCTTGCTTAGAGTAAGGAATAGCAAATGTCAGAAATGAATACTCCCTCAACTCCATCCCAGCTTAAGTACGAACACAGAGTTTGTTTGCGTGCAATCATTGCCATAGTAACGGCAACTACTGTCATGCATTATTGAATCCTCTCCCTGGATCACAGGACGATAAGAGGCAGCGTGGCAAGCACTGAGTGCAGCAGAACTGCGTCACGTGACCAGCATGCAGCTCTCTGATTGGTCAGTTTGAGTCACGTGACAGGAGAACTGCTTGCCTGGCCGTTCTAACGTTACTTGTAATTTGAGCGCAGTGTCTAGTAACGGTCAGTAAGCACTGTTTTGCTTGTCCAACTGTCAATATAGCTGGGAACAGTCTCTCTTCCAGAAAAACTATCTATTAATAACTTGATATAAAGAAACACTGTCGTTACCATGACAACTGTACAGTTCTCCATTTTGACCCATTTCTCGAAAACACGTACCGAATCAATATTGTGCGGTGAGCACTTAAGCTAGTGTAATGAGTGACATGATAAATTGAGGTAAGAGAACCTAGTGGCCAGTCATGTGGAAACAAGTCACTTCATCCACAATAATTAACAGCAGCAGCAGCCAATAATTGAAACAGTGAACCGTTGTCATGGTAACGACAGTGTTGTCATGGTAATAGTTAACCACATTACTAATGCAGCTATCCAACCAAACGCATCTCAACCTAATAACGATGTGGTTTAGGCGCTAATCAACAATCAGATTATAAAACGGTGATAGATGTGATTGCGCTCTGCATTTACTGCATTCAACATTTTATTGGGTTTGTTTTTATTCGGGTATTATTGAATTCTACGCTTTTTTTTTACAAGAAACCAGTTACCAAGTGACCAGTTTCCTAGTGACCAGTAACCTAGCTACCAGTTACCTAGCAACTCTCTAGTAACTGTACGACATGTTTTGTATCCTCCTCCTTCTCTCCTCCTTCCTTCTAGTTGACTGTAGATCTCTTTCTCACTCTTCTATTTCAACTGAACACAGAGCCTTCTTCTACGCTCCTACTCACGGACCAAGACAATATCGCAGTGTTAGCAACCTGTCACCTAGCAACCAGTTACCTAGCAGCAATGATATCGTTCTGAGAAAGAGAAGTGTGGAGAAGGAATCAACTCGTCACAGCTTCTTCTTTAAACCTCCTCGTGTGAGAGACAATAAAAAGAGAGCTAACAATAAAGTTTATAAAGGAGCCATTTTACCTGCTCGCAGAAAGTTCAGACTTGTATCAGTTGATTTGTCGCTAAGCAACCAGTTACCTAGTAACGATAATGATAGCCAGCCTTCCTCAGAGCTCCAAACATTAGGAGATGTTGTGTTGGAGATGACGAACTCTCCCTCTCCTCCCTCTCCTACCCCTTCTACTGACTCACAGCAATCACACACACTTACAGTGGTGTACTGAGATATTGTCGGGAATACTACCTTATAAGGTAATGTTACCTTGACAACACTTCCATATAAGGTAATGTTACCTTGACAACACTTCCATATAAGGTAATGTTACCTTGACAACACTTCCATATAAGGTAATGTTACCTTGACAACACTACCATATAAGGTGTTACCTGCTAGTCAGGGGTTTGTGTATGTTTGGGGTTTCTTCTGCGGCTGGACTTCATACAGACATTATAATCAGAGAGGGTTTTTTATTGAATTATTGAGATTTTGGATAAGAGTTGTTTTATTGTTGGTTTGTGTTTGATTTTCTTTTTTTCTTCTTTTTAGTTATATTAATGATGATTTTGCGTGACATTTGTTTTTAGTACGGTGTTTTTAAGAGTGAGTTATGGGTTGATTTATTTTAGATTCTTCATAGTGTTCTATAAAACTTAGCAATTTTCATGGTAGAGACTTCAACAATAAGATTTTAGAGTATATTGTTTTTATTTGTTCCACATAAACAATTTCCACGCTAAATAGATAAATATTACTTTATTTTCCATGACGACTTGCATGATCAAAGTTTTCATAGTCCTGAGTTAGACGGTTGCGTAATACTCTGTAACCATGGCAACACGTAATACTCTATTCCAGTCACTGCAAAATAGTGTTAATCGATAATCAGCGGAACAAATTATCTAAAATAAAACCCAAAATAAGAAGCACGTCACTAGATTAATACCAGAATACAGCACGAAATTCGCTGTTTTAACATTTGCAGTACTACCAGCGTGTTAATTAATCCGTCAATTAGATTCGCCGTGAAACTAGTAATGCTATGTAACCATGGTAACACGTGTAATAACATTTAACTTGGTGACGCTATGGAAAAACGTGAGGTATAAATTTAGAAATCCATCGCCGGAACCATCATTTTATTTCTCTATCAAATAGATGTAGAGAATATGATTGGTCACCTTTGCAATTCAGTTATCACGGTCAGCTTTATTGTCAGTCCCACTATCAAAGTAGTGATGCTCTGTAACCATGGTAACAGTCCCACTATCAAAGTAGTGATCTGTAACCATGGTAACAGTCCCACTATCAAAGTAGTGATCTGTAACCATGGTAACAGTCCCACTATCAATTATTAATGCTCTGTAACCATGGTAACAGTCCCACTATCAAAGTAGTGATCTGTAACCATGGTAACAGTCCCACTATCAAAGTAGTGATATGTAACCATGGTAACAGTCCCACTATCAAAGTAGTGATATGTAACCATGGTAACAGTCCCACTATCAAAGTAGTGATCTGTAACCATGGTAACAGTCCCACTATCAAAGTAGTGATATGTAACCATGGTAACAGTCCCACTATCAATTATTAATGCTCTGTAACCATGGTAACAGTCCCACTATCAAAGTAGTGATATGTAACCATGGTAACAGTCCCACTATCAAAGTAGTGCTCTGTAACCATGGTAACAGTCCCACTATCAAAGTAGTGATATGTAACCATGGTAACAGTCCCACTATCAAAGTAGTGCTCTGTAACCATGGTAACAGTCCCACTATCAAAGTAGTGATATGTAACCATGGTAACAGTCCCACTATCAAAGTAGTGCTCTGTAACCATGGTAACAGTCCCACTATCAAAGTAGTGCTCTGTAACCATGGTAACAGTCCCACTATCAAAGTAGTGATCTGACGTTCTTTGCGGTAAAATGCACATAAACAAGAATTGAGAAATACTCGTCATGGCAGAAATGAAGGGGAAATTTATTATTAAATGTTCGGTTCCAAGTTGAGAACTGAGTACTGACAACGGTCTCCTTTGCAAATCTAAATGAGACAGAATTTTGACAGGAAGTCCGTGCTTACACAACGGTAAAATAAACCATTAATTTAATTAGTAAATCTAATAAGTTCTGTTGTATTTTGTAACTTCACCTGTAAACACCTGTTACCATGGTTACCTGTAAACACCTTGTAAACATGTAACTTATCCATCAACTTACAGAAAGACGGTCCGGGAGACGGCAAGAAGAAATCAATCAAAATTATTGATGCTAAGCGTGCACAGGTTAGTCTTGTTATTATAAAGTTATAAGGTTATTGAACCCTCCGTCCCTCCGTCCCTCCGTCCCTCCGTCCCTCCGTCCCTCCTTCCCTGCCATGTCAGCTAAAATATATTTTTAAAAGTTTGCTATCTATCATTCGGTACAAATATAACGAGGGCTATCTACAGAACTTTACGATTCTGATAAAGAAGTTTAAGAAGACGAACGAGGAATTGCTAAGTATTGTAATGAACTGTGATAAAGGAGACGAGATCTCTCTTGACATGTGGGAGCAGGTAATAATAACAAGTTTATTTACTGAGAAAGTTGAAACAAGGATACAGTTTTACCCACCTGATATAAAGATGTAACGATTGTATTTATTGTTGCACGTATTAACTGTAACATGTAACTTGTTGTAAATACTGTTTCATTAACTAAGGTTCTACTCGCAGTTGTTACGGTATGTCCCTACTAAAGAAGAAATACAGTTGCTGACTGATTTAGAAACAGATGAACAAACCCTATCCTCCCTAAGCAGAGCGGACCGGTACTTCCATGGTGCAGCCAGGTAACTGTCACCATGGTTACACGTTGCCATTGTTACATGGCACACCTTACCACGGTTACATGGCGCAACTATATCTTTCAATTTGTCGTGGTCAGCAGTAACTTATAAGAATTACATTTGCATAACTGCAACTGGCAGGGCCAAGCGAAATGTATTTCATGGATCTCAAAATAGTGGCACTGTAATTAAAGTGCTTCTTCATGGAAACTAAATATTGTATCTTCAATATTCATGTTCTTACAAAAGCTTCCACTTCAGTATTTATCACTACGAAGAACGAATCAAAGCTGTAAATTTCAAGAAGAAATTTGATGAGCGGATAAAGAACATATCTCCCAAAATCAGGTGAGATTGGAGTTACCATGGTAACCATTGGCGAGCTATAAAATGTATCCTTGTGTTTGACAAATAGTGTACTATCTGCGTCATTTGTAGGTGACATTTCACAGTCACACTGTTGTCCAGTTATCCTCTGTTGTAGTAACATCTTGACCTATATTGTGGCCCTTAAAGCTATCTTTTTCTTATTTATTATTCTTATTATTTATAAGTTAAACTTAAGTAAAAAGTAAAAAGTATGTAGTAATAATAGCTCTTTGATTTCAACAGCTCAAGTTTTGACATTTCAAAGGCTTATAATATCTACAAGTATTTATATAACAAAGTTAGTGTAACCATGGAAACGTGTTGACACAACATATTATGAAGCTTAACAAGCACATTCCAACTGCTTACTCCTTACTAAATACTTTAGTTTACTAATACGATTCTAGCAACTATTCTGATGAACTGAGACAGAGCTATTTGTCTATTTTATTGAATCAAGTTGGGACAAACTCTAAAGCGAGGGGGTTATCTGAATAGTAGTAGTATTATTGCGATTAAACTACATATTGATTATTAAAACTGCTCAATTTCAGAGCACTAATAAAGGCTTCCACTGAAGTAACATGTAACCATATTAACATATTGTAACCATGGTAACATGTAACCATAGTAACATATTGATTATTAAAACCGCTCAATTTCAGAGCACTGATAAATGCTTCCACTGAAGTAACATGTAACCATGGTAACATGTTACCATAGTAACATATTGATTATTAAAACTGCTCAATTTCAGAGCACTGATAAAGGCTTCCACTGAAGTAACATGTAACCATGGTAACATGTAACCATGGTAACATGTAACCATAGTAACATATTAATTATTAAAACCGCTCAATTTCAGAGCACTGATAAAGGCTTCCACTGAAGTTGTTAAAAGTGAGAAGCTGAAAGAAATGTTAACTTTGATTCTAGGATTCGGCAACTACTTTAACTTCGGAAAACGTGGTAAGCTCTAATTGAAATATTTGAAAAGTTTGACTTGCTCTTTGTAGGAACATATGGTCGTACCTGTAAATTGAAATGCAACGAGTTTAAAGTATTATATTTAGTATCTTACTGCATAAAGCGAGACGATATTATGTACATAATATATAATTTTAACAATACATTCCGCGAAAGCCGTGCGAGATATATTGCAACCTTTTTGGCTGGGTCGAATACTTTTATGGCCATTCGACCAGTATAAAGAAATAAGAAATTGGCCCGAGGAATAAATAATACAGGTGTTATCAACAACGCAAAATAAGTAAATATCGTTGTCTCTTGTAAGTTGTAACCACGGTAACATGTCTCTTGACATAATACATAAGTATTAAAAGTATTGTTAGGAACTGATAAAATAGCCAATATTCTAGGTTTTCTTCACTTCATTGTTACAATTTCAGCTACAATAACCTCCTTCTTTCAGGAAATGCCGTGGGATTCAAACTGGAGACCTTAACTAAAATATGCGATACAAAATCAGCTGATAATCAACTCACATTGCTAGTTTACATTGTGGAGACTGTGGAAATGATTGTGAGTATATAATTATTGAATCTTTAACGTGTAACCATGGTAACATGTGGCCATGGTAACATGTAACCATAGTAACATGTAACCATGGTAACATGTAACCATAGTAACATGTAACCATGGTAACGTTTAACCACAGGAGTTTGTAACCATGCTAACGTGTAACCATGGTAACATGAAACATTGGCAACATGAAGCCTTGGTAATTTGTTACCATGGTAACGGTTAACCACAGTAGCTTGTGACGTCATGGCAACATTTTCAGTTCCCAGATTTGGACACGTTTATGGATGAAATAGCGCATGTTCCTGTAGCAGCTAAAGTAGCCTTGGCGGAACTAAAAGCAGATGTTAATGATCTGCAAGGTGGTAACAGACTTCTGATCAAAGAAGTGGATCACATGCAGAAGAACCCGTCTCTTAAAGGTTACTTTAACCTTTGTAACCATAGTAACATGTAACCATGGTAACATGAACTTTAACCTTTGCTGTAACTAACACTACTCTTAATATTTATTAGATTGCTTATCTTGCATCTTCTGATTTTCTTAAATTGTGGCCTGGAATCGTGAATTAATCCATTTATTCTTAATGCAAATTTTCCAAATTATTTCTCCAAACCCCTAGTTTCCTAGTTAAGATATAGTGCGATACCTTAAAAGCTAAAATCTATTCCGCGTCACAGTAAATTATTTCTCGCCTATCCAGTAGCCATAAAACAATGAGACAGCTAATGAGAACTCTCATCATCGTAACCATGGTAATGAGACAGCTAATAAGAACTCTCATCATTGTAATCAGATAAAGACTTAAAATAACTGGTTAAACTTGTTAACTACGTATATTAAGAGATAATAATGACTACCTTATTAACAGTTAATAATGACTACCTTATTAACAATGACTACCTTATTAACACCGGTATAAACCACCTCAGGTGCATCAGTGTTCCAGCAGCAGTTTAAAGGTTTCCTAAAGGACATTGCGTGTAACCATGGTAACATGTAACCATGGTAACATGTAACCATAGTAACCAGTATAAACCACCTCAGGTGCCTCGGTGTTCCAGCAGCAGTTTAAAGGCTTCCTAAAGGACATTGCGGACACCATGACGGATCTGGAGCAGATGATGGGTGCTATGAAGAAGAAGTACACCATAGCAACCAGTCACTTTGCTGAGAGTTCTAATGTGGAGCCTGAAACTTTCTTCGGATATTTTAACAGTTTCATCATGCAGTACACGGTAATCAGATGCACTAGCACATTTGAAATTTCACACTACCACACCTTTGATTTTAGTTTTTGATTTCGCTTTCACTTTCACTTAATTTTGCTTTAATTCCAGCACGCTTTCTAAAAATCATTTGTAGTCATGATGAAAATACCAATTTCAATTTTGCAACGACGTTTATAATTCTATCCAATTCTTCCAGGACGCAAAAGATATTCTCGCGAAGAAGAGAGAGGAAGAAGAAAAGAAAAAGGTTTTCAAGCCGTTACTTTAATATTTATACTAATACAGCAAAATCCAAAAAATCAAACGTTCATGAATGACTCCTTCGGTGAAGGCGCTATTTTTTATCTAACCCTAAAATAGTACCAGTTTGGATCCCTTTAGATTTGTTTGGAGAGGCGAATCATACACAGTTTAGGCTCTAAAATCTTCGAATTAAAAATCATCAGTTTGAATCCCGGCTGAAGAGATTCCAACAAGGGAGAAAAAGCGGCTACCGTGTAACCATAGTAACATAACCCCTTCTCAGTGTAACCATGGTAACATGTAACTAACATAACCCCTTCTCAGAGGAAGCAGTTAGCAGCAGAAGCTCTCCCCTCCGGAGCCTCGTCCCCCACCAGCCGGTCCCGACCCCTGTCGCCTCACATGCAGAGTATGTTACACGTCACACACCACTCATTATTTACACCACTCCATCATATTAAACAAGGATTAAACATAAATTTGTCAATGAGAGCCCTAACACTCACGTCTTGACTATACATCAATATAAAAAAAAATAAATAAATAATGTGCAAGAGTGTTCTTAAAATAAAAATTTAAAAAATCATAAAAATTTAACTTCGTCACATCTTTGTTGAAAGAGAAACAAGTGCGAATAAAATAATTTAATTCCCATGAGAAAATCACCCTTTACTTCACAACATCATCCCCAGCTGAAGACGATTTACACATGTATTTTGAAAGCTCCTGCTAATACAATCTTTTCGTATCACTTATATATAAAACCTCCAGGATATATAGAGGTTATGTGTGTACCTCCTATCACATACATTATTTAGTACTTAGTTTCGACTGATAACAATTCTTGTTTAAATTTCCAGGTATTCTTGTTTAAACCTTATATTTTAAAACCTCCAGGTACCTCCACCTCTCCTCTACCTCCGGAGCTTATTGTGGACTTGCTTCCTTCTTTAGAGACGTTAGAACAGCAGGACCACAACCTTCTCATGAACGATCTCTTCTCACCTCAAACAGGTTACCTTTCACTTTCACTTTCACTTTCACTTTCACTTTCACTTTCACTTTCACTTCTCGGTGTTTAGAGTTATTGGCCTGCAGAAAGCTAACATTTTAATGTTTTTGTCGAAAGCAAAGTTTTTAATATGGTACTACAATGGGGCAAAAATAAGTGCCAATATTTGTTAACACTGCAGCTAACTAACTCATATATTCGTTAGACACGGTAACATGTAACCATGGTAACATGTAACCATTAACACTGCAGCTAACTAACTCATATATTCGTTAGACACGGTAACATGTAACCATGGTAACATGTAACCATTAACACTGCAGCTAACTAACTCATATATTCGTTAGACACGGTAACATGTAACCATGGTAACATGTAACCATGGTAACATGTAACCATTAACACTGCAGCTAACTAACTCATGTATTCGTTAGACACGAACGATAATACCGTATCACTCAACGCTGGGTCTATGAGGAGGAGGAAAAAGAAGAGGCAACAATCTTCAAGTGTCTCCAATATGGAGCGAGAGCGCTGACAATTCTAAATAGTTATCAGTATTGTTACCATGGCAATATGTGGTTTACAAATTATAATTGGTAACACAATCGTTGGACTTTAATTTTTAATTTGATTATTTAAAGATACGTTTTTTTCGTTAACCTTTTAATTGAAAGAGCTGTCGAGCAACTCAATTGTCGATCAATAATACAATATTAAGTTATGAAAAAATTTTCAGAGGACTATATACAATTATACAGGTTAAGATAGGTTAACAAATTTTCTACTGTTTTATTTGTTGTTTTGTAGTTTATATTTGATTTATAATTTGAGTCGGGATCTTGTGCAAATTTAGTATTATTTGTTTTGTAAAACCTTATGATTGATTGCTTTATGAGTTGGTTCAATTGTGTTCAATAATACAACTGCAATAATTTGCGGCTAATTAATTTTAAATTAAAGACCATAGCTTACTCTTATAAAATTGGCACAACACAACCTTACTCCTTCATAAACAATACAACCGTCGAGAATTATTTGAGCGATTTGCTGCTCAATAATTTGGGTGGCTCACAGTTAGCCAGCACCTTCTCAAAATCCCGCTTCCAGCTGTGGCAGTATTGATTTATTGATATTCTGCAATTTAATTCAGGATTCGGGTCGATTAGTTTTGATTTTCATTGGCTCTCTTCGTTTAATATTCATGGGAAATGCACGGAAATTAGTTTCTCTCTAAATGATGTTGAGCTTCTCTTGATTCACTGTAATTTGTAATATTCGCCATTTTCCGCAACAGTTTGCTTATTGATCAGCTTTCTTCAAATTTAACACCGCCAGCCGGTTCATTTGAGGCCATACGCCGCTGTCGACTGATAGGAGACTGGTGTAAGTGTGGTTAAACAGCAAGTAGAGAGTAAACAATGGTTACCCTGGTTACCCTGGTTACACAGCACTAATAAACACATGTTTGCTTCATTTCCGGAGACTTGTTTATATCGGAGCTACTTGTAATTGTATATTCGCATACTGTCACTGTAACCAGGTAACCAGGATAAGGAGAACCAGGGTAACCAGGGTAACCAGGGTAACCAGGGTAACCAGGGGGGGGGGCCAATGACTACCAATGGAGACTTTTGGGGACTAATGGGGACTAAAAATCATGGGGACTAGAGGTCAACTCGTTGACGTAATTCACCATTTGTCCCCATAAGTCCCCAGAATTTTTGACAGTTATTTATGGTTTTCAAGTTAGTTTAATAACGATACGATCGAGATGTTTTGTCCAAGATAAGAGTAGGATAAATCTGACTTAAAAGTAAAATGATAAGCCCGGTTGTAATGTGTTCTACCACTGTACAAGTCAAAAACAAAAGAAACCAACGCCAATTTCAAATTACTGAGCATATCATTTCAGACAAATCAATACAAAAGTAATAAGAAAAATTGATAATGCGTTTATTTTCCTTGCGCTACAACTCGTGTTACTAGATCAATCTGATAAAATAAGCGTATATATGCAATATGTCTCCTCAATGTTGTCATTGGTAGTCGCCCCCGCCCCCTCCCTTAATTTACCTGAGGTACTCTAAGTTCAGCCCTCAAGTAGCTCCCAAGAAGTCAGGAATGTCCAGTGACCATTTATAAATATTCTAGACTTCAGTCTTGAGAAGTTTACGATCTGGTTTGGAGAAGCCAGATTTTTTGAAATCTAAATGGGGACTAATGGAGACTTTTGGGGACTAATGGGGACTAAAAATCATGGGGACTCGGGGTAAAATCGTTGACGTAATTCCCCAAGTCCCCAAAAGTAGTCATTGGCCCCCCCCCCCCCAGGGTAACCAGGGTAACCAGGGTAACAAGGGTAACCAGGGTAACCAGCATAACCAGGGTAACCAGGGTAACCAGGGTAACCAGGGTAACCAGGGTAACCAGGGTAACCAGGGTAACAAGGGTAACCAGGGTAACAAGGGTAACCAGGGTAACCAGCATAACCAGGGTAACCAGGGTAATCAGGGTAACCAGGGTAACCAGGGTAACAAGGGTAACCAGGGTAACCAGCATAACCAGGGTAACCAGGGTAACCAGGGTAATCAGGGTAACCAGCATAACCAGAGTAACAAGGGTAACCAGGGTAACCAGGATAACCAGGGTAACCAGAGTAACCAGGGTAACAAGGGTAACCAGGATAACCAGCTGTACATTCACTGTCAGTATGTTACCCTGACATACGGTGGAACTAAATTGAATAGCGCCGCGCTATTTTCTATTCCGTTCGGTCGCATAACAGTTAATTTATTCTTGAATATCATGTGAAACTTGGAATTTGTTTTGTTGTTTCACAATGGGTTTATAGACGAAACTCAAATTGTTAGTGTGCTGTTACCAACTAGTGGATTATGCTATTTTATCAGGTATTATATAGCAACCTATATATATTGCCTAGCAACCTATAAATGACTGTGAAGTGTGAGTGTGGAAGTAGCTGCCTAGCAACCTATATATTATGACAGTAGCTGCCAAGGCACAATCAGGAAATGAGTGCACCAAAATAGCATATACTCATGTGCATTACTCCGCGTGTATATTTGGCATTGCTTTGTGGTTGTGTGTGTTACTATAGCAACGTGTGTGGCTATAACACTGCAGCTACCTGCCACAGGTACACATTACATGTTTATCAGACATGATCCACTCATTCAGAGTACGTTTGATCCTGCAGCGCTGTACTCTGCAGTTACGACTTCTGAAAAGTGATTTTTAGAGGGATCGCATTTGTTGAGGCTTTTGAAATTTGTTATTCATTGCTCACGCTCTAACGTATCGTCTGCGTTGTTGTTGCCTAAAAGAATCAAGACCCCCCTAGATATGACAATATGTTTCCTACTACTTTACTCGGACTACTAACCCTGATCAGTCTGGCACTCTGCCAGGACTCGTGCACACTCCAGACCACGTGTGACACCTGCTTCCAAACCTTCCCTGAGTGCGCCTGGTGTGCTGATATCAGCTGGAGCGAACACAGGTCAGTTACCTAGCAACCAGTTACCTAGCAACCGAAGCCCTTTTTACTTTTAAGATAAACGTTACGTTCAGGTGTATCAGCGTTTTAACCTTAGGGATAGGCTTAAATGGCCGTCATTGTAAGGACTGGCGATGGAATGAGGCTTAACATCATAGTGATATGGATTCTGGATAGTGTGAAAGTCATTATTCTTATTTTCGGTTGCTAGGTAACTTATTGTTGGTTGACTTATTCCCCATCTCAGATGCTTCTCCAAGGAGCTTTCTACATTAAAAACACGTGCAAAGATCTGAGGTATCCAGAGAGCACTGTTAAGATAACGAGTGGGCAGCCCCTTGACAACACAGTTCAGGTAATGCAGCCCCTTGACAACACAGTTCAGGTAATGCAGCCCCTTGACAACACAGTTCAGGTAATGCAGCCCCTTGACAACACAGTTCAGGCAATGCAGCCCCTTGACAACACAGTTCAGGTAATGCAGCCCCTTGACAACACAGTTCAGGTAATGCAGCCCCTTGACAACACAGTTCAGGTAATGCAGCCCCTTGACAACACAGTTCAGGTAATGCAGCCCCTTGACAACACAGTTCAGGTAATGCAGCCCCTTGACAACACAGTTCAGGTAATGCAGCCCCTTGACAACACAGTTCAGGTAATGCAGCCCCTTGACAACACAGTTCAGGTAATGCAGCCCCTTGACAACACAGTTCAGGTGATGCAGCCCCTTGACAACACAGTTCAGGTAATACAGCCCCTTGACAACACAGTTCATGTAATGCAGCCCCTTGACAACACAGTTCAGGTAATGCAGCCCCTTAACAACACAGTTCAGGTAATGCAGCCCCTTAACAACACAGTTCAGGTAATGCAGCCCCTTGACAACACAGTTCAGGTAATGCAGCCCCTTGACAACACAGTTCAGGTAATGCAGCCCCTTGACAACACAGTTCAGGTAATGCAGCCCCTTGACAACACAGTTCAGGTAATGCAGCCCCTTGACAACACAGTTCAGGTAATGCAGCCCCTTGACAACACAGTTCAGGTAATGCAGCCCCTTGACAACACAGTTCAGGTAATACAGCCCCTTGACAACACAGTTCATGTAATGCAGCCCCTTGACAACACAGTTCAGGTAATGCAGCCCCTTAACAACACAGTTCAGGTAATGCAGCCCCTTAACAACACAGTTCAGGTAATGCAGCCCCTTGACAACACAGTTCAGGTAATGCAGCCCCTTGACAACACAGTTCAGGTAATACAGCCCCTTGACAACACAGTTCATGTAATGCAGCCCCTTGACAACACAGTTCAGGTAATGCAGCCCCTTAACAACACAGTTCAGGTAATGCAGCCCCTTAACAACACAGTTCAGGTAATGCAGCCCCTTGACAACACAGTTCAGGTAATGCAGCCCCTTGACAACACAGTTCAGGTAATGCAGCCCCTTGACAACACAGTTCAGGTAATGCAGCCCCTTGACAACACAGTTCAGGTAATGCAGCCCCTTGACAACACAGTTCAGGTAATGCAGCCCCTTGACAACACAGTTCAGGTAATGCAGCCCCTTGACAACACAGTTCAGGTAATACAGCCCCTTGACAACACAGTTCATGTAATGCAGCCCCTTGACAACACAGTTCAGGTAATGCAGCCCCTTAACAACACAGTTCAGGTAATGCAGCCCCTTAACAACACAGTTCAGGTAATGCAGCCCCTTGACAACACAGTTCAGGTAATGCAGCCCCTTAACAACACAGTTCATGTAATGCAGCCCCTTAACAACACAGTTCAGGTAATGCAGCCCCTTGACAACACAGTTCAGGTAATGCAGCCCCTTGACAACACAGTTCAGGTAATGCAGCCCCTTGACAACACAGTTCAGGTAATGCAGCCCCTTGACAACACAGTTCAGGTAATGCAGCCCCTTGACAACACAGTTCAGGTAATGCAGCCCCTTGACAACACAGTTCAGGTAATGCAGCCCCTTGACAACACAGTTCAGGTGATGCAGCCCCTTGACAACACAGTTCAGGTAATACAGCCCCTTGACAACACAGTTCATGTAATGCAGCCCCTTGACAACACAGTTCAGGTAATGCAGCCCCTTAACAACACAGTTCAGGTAATGCAGCCCCTTGACAACACATTTCAGGTAATGCAGCCCCTTGACAACACAGTTCAGGTAATGCAGCCCCTTGACAACACAGTTCAGGTAATGCAGCCCCTTGACAACACAGTTCAGGTAATGCAGCCCCTTGACAACACAGTTCAGGTAATGCAGCCCCTTGACAACACAGTTCAGGTAATGCAGCCCCTTGACAACACAGTTCAGGTAATGCAGCCCCTTGACAACACAGTTCAGGTAATGCAGCCCCTTGACAACACAGTTCAGGTAATGCAGCCCCTTGACAACACAGTTCAGGTAATACAGCCCCTTGACAACACAGTTCATGTAATGCAGCCCCTTGACAACACAGTTCAGGTAATGCAGCCCCTTAACAACACAGTTCAGGTAATGCAGCCCCTTAACAACACAGTTCAGGTAATGCAGCCCCTTGACAACACAGTTCAGGTAATGCAGCCCCTTGACAACACAGTTCAGGTAATGCAGCCCCTTGACAACACAGTTCAGGTAATGCAGCCCCTTGACAACACAGTTCAGGTGATGCAGCCCCTTGACAACACAGTTCAGGTAATACAGCCCCTTGACAACACAGTTCAGGTGATGCAGCCCCTTGACAACACAGTTCAGGTAATACAGCCCCTTGACAACACAGTTCACTGTTCAGGTGATACAGCTTCTTTTTACGAGCACATGATCCCGATCCCTGTCGGATCTGGGAGATCTTCTGAAAGTAGATGATATTTAACCATGCATTTATAAACTTATAAAGGGAACCCAATACAACTGATGTTTAGGTATACCCACAACAACTATACGTTACTATAGCAACGTGTGTTGTTCAGGTATACCCACAACATCTAGACGTTACTATAGCAACGTGTGTTGTTCAGGTATACCCACAACATCTAGACGTTACTATAGCAACGTGTGTTGTTCAGGTATACCCACAACAACTATACGTTACTATAGCAACGTGTGTTGTTCAGGTATACCCACAACAACTAGACGTTGCTATAGCAATGTGTGTTGTTCAGGTATACCCACAACAACTAGACGTCCACTTGAGACCTAAGATGCCGGTAACTCAGACTATTGAAGTGCGGCCTCAGAGCAGCTACCCGATAGACACTTATTATCTCATGGACTTCTCTTTCAGGTAACGTTTATCATCTGACCTTATATTCAACTTGTGTTACTATAGCAACGTGTGTTCTGCCGTTTTCTCAGAAAAGGCAGTAAGTCCAATTTTTCGAAATATGATAATATTGGTATCAAAATTTTCAGTAGAAAATTCTCTACAATATGAGCTACATATTAATGTATAGAAACATTGTTGCATGCAATTTCTAAGGAAGTAATTCCCAGTTGAGAAACATTATGTTCGGTTTTGGCCAATTATTTTCTGAGAGAAGGACGTAAGTCCGGACTTACTGCCTTTTCTGAGAAAATCTTGGAAATCTTCTGAGATAAGGAAGTAATTCCGTGGACTTACTGCCTTTTCTGAGATAAATTATCTGTGATAGGAAGAAGTAGCTGGACTTACTTCCTATAAAAGCATGCTAAAAGCGGAATTTTAGAAAGCGATTTCCCAAAAAGAACATAACTTTACTGCCGATTGATATTTTCGCTTGAAATTTTCAGAATCGATGTATAATTACATTTCAACTTTACCTAAGTGATCAAAATTTTCATTTAGGCCTCAAAAAAATTTGGTGGCCGATTTTCAAAAACGCCGGATGTATTTTAGTCGCAAAACATAAACTTTGGAGCAGTTATTGAGCTGTTATAATCGCAGAGAATGTTTAGTTTAGGTATATCTTTTAGATCAAGTTCATTTTCATCAAAATATCGATAAGATATCATTTAATGCACTGAAATCTTTCAAAATTGGCGAGTTTGTCTAAATAATGGCATACTATTATTCAAAAACATTTATTATATGATATGGAGCAATTTAGATTTACCTAATTGTTTATATTTTACAATATAATCCAAAATACATAGATCCAAACCTCAAAAATTTAGTAAAAAGCTTGGACTTACTTCCTTCTCAGAAAAATATTGAACAGAGATTTTTCTCAGAAAAGGAAGTAAGTCCATCCAGTATGAAAAATAAGCTTGATTATTTGGCATAAAAATGGTTATATCTAAGCTTATGGACGGCTCAAAGCTTTAATTTTTTTGACTAATTAAAATTTGACTAATTATTGATAACTCAACGTGTTTACTTTCGATCTTACGCAAAAAGTAAGCGGAGAAAAAACCATAAACGCAAAAGTCGCAATATCTCGAAATGGCAAATATGGACTTACTGCCTTTTCTGAGAAAACGGCAGTGTTACTGTAGCAACGTATGTTACTATTGCAACGTCTGTTACTATAGCAACGTGTGTTACACGCTATCCTTGATATTATCTTAACAGATTTTATAATACAAATCTAAGTTCACTTTTCCAGTATGTTAGACGATTTGCAGAATTTACGTAAACTAGCGTCAAATCTCACCGAAGAGTTTAAACTCGTTTCAGAGGACTTCCTCATAGGTAATATTATGTGTTAAATGTATCATTAATCCATTAGTATTTTATAACTTTTTTTGTCGATTTTGCAGATTAAAATTCATTGAAGAGTAAGTGTTGGGGTTTTTGAGCCAAAAATCTGGGCCAAAGATCTAACCAGAAAGCCAAAAGAACCGACTAGAGGTTTATAGAAATAAAGGAAAAGAACAATAGATCTTTGTACAACCAATGTATAATTCTTTAGCTTAAGAGCACCCATACCATGGGTGCTAACTGCTAATATGGGTCTGATAATAATTAGTTTTAACTCATCTTGTCTCAGGTTTGGGGACGTTTGTGGACAAAGTAGTGTTACCTTAGTTTTAACTCATCTTGTCTCAGGTTTGGCCTTGGGGACGTTTGTGGACAAAGTAGTGTTACCTTAGTTTTAACTCATTGCTATAGTAACACACGTTGCTATAGTAACACACGTCGCTATAGTAACACACGTCCATCTTGTTTCAGGTTTGGGGACGTTTGTGGACAAAGTAGTGTTACCTTATTCTTACACGGACAAGTTCAGATTAGAGGACCCTTGCAGTGATCCTGCAGTTAAAAATGTAACTGAAGTGATATCCTATGTTTTTTTAATTGACAGTACAGTTCTATTGCTTGCAGTGATTAGATGTACCCGGTATCCGTGTAAGAAGGGACATCTGTCCGACAGATGTCGTGTTACCGTAAAGAGGCACGGTAAAGAAAGGTTTTACTGTAGTATTTATGAAGCCAAGATGTTGTTGCACACACAATTAATTTAAATTTGTTATCAATTTAGGCTCAGCCAGTTTGCAAACCAGCCTACTCCTTCAAAAACGAAATGAAGATGTCTAGCCAGTTGTTAGATTTCACCAAGTAAGTTTTATATTGAATTTTAGAAAGTTTTTAAACATAAATTTCACAGTTCTGATGCACCTACACAGCGTGGGTAGGGTTCCCTAGCCACAGTCTGTAATACCCTTCTTATCTCTGACCTGGTTGCTAGGTAACTGGTTGCTAGGTTACTGTCTGTAATACCCTTCTTATCAGTACATTGGACAGACTGAATGTAAGTGGGAATATTGATAAGGACGAGGGAGGGTTGGATGCGTTAATGCAGGTGGCAGCTTGTAACCAGCAATTCGGTAGGTTCTTTACTACTACTACTATATAGTTAATGCAGGTGGCAGCTTGTAACCAGCAATTCGGTAGGTTCTTTACTACTACTACTATATAGTTAATGCAGGTGGCAGCTTGTAATCAGCAATTCGGTAGGTTCTTTACTACTACTACTACTATATAGTTAATGCAGGTGGCAGCTTGTAATCAGCAATTCGGTAGGTTCTTTACTACTGCTACTACTATATAGTTAATGCAGGTGGCAGCTTGTAATCAGCAATTCGGTAGGTTCTTTACTACTGCTACTACTAATGCAGGTGGCAGCTTGTAATCAGCAATTCGGTAGGTTCTTTACTACTGCTACTACTAATGCAGGTGGCAGCTTGTAATCAGCAATTCGGTAGGTCCTTAACTACTGCTACTACTATATACGTTGATGCAGGTGGCAGCTTGTAACCAGCAATTCGGTAGGTTTAAAGTACTCCAGTATATAAATAACATAATATACTATAATATTTGAAAGAATTAAATGGCTTAATTGATCACGAATCAGCAATTTCCATCCCCCCAGGATTTAGAGACAAATTCCGGAAGATAGTGATCAATTACCATCCCCCAGGATTTAGAGACAACTCCCGGAAGATAGTGCTCAATTTCCATCCCCCAGGATTTAGAAACAACTCCCGGAAGATAGTGATCAATTTCCATCCCCCCAGGATTTAGAGACAACTCCCGGAAGATAGTGATCAATTTCCATCCCCCAGGATTTAGAGACAACTCCCGGAAGATAGTGCTCAATTTCCATCCCCCAGGATTTAGAGACAACTCCCGGAAGATAGTGCTCAATTTCCATCCCCCAGGATTTAGAAACAACTCCCGGAAGATAGTGATCAATTTCCATCCCCCCAGGATTTAGAGACAACTCCCGGAAGATAGTGATCAATTTCCATCCCCCAGGATTTAGAGACAACTCCCGGAAGATAGTGCTCAATTTCCATCCCCCAGGATTTAGAGACAACTCCCGGAAGATAGTGATATATTTCTACCCCCCAGGATTTAGAGACAACTCCCGGAAGATAGTGATATATTTCTACCCCCCAGGATTTAGAGACAACTCCCGTAAGATAGTGATAAATTTCCATACCCCAGGATTTAGAGACAACTCCCGGAAGATAGTGCTCAATTTCCATCCCCCCAGGATTTAGAGACAACTCCCGGAAGATAGTGATATATTACCATCCCCCAGGATTTAGAGACAAATCCCGGGAGATAGTGATCAATTTCCATCCCCCAGGATTGAGACACAACTCCCGGAAGATAGTGATCAATTTCCACCCCCATGATTTAGAAACAACTCCCGGAAGATAGTGATCAATTTCCATCCCCCAGGATTTAGAGACGACTCCCGGAAGATAGTGATCAATTTCCATCCCCCCAGGATTTAGAAACAACTCCCGTAAGATAGTGCTCAATTTCCATCCCCCAGGATTTAGAGACAACTCCCGGAAGATAGTGATCAATTACCATCCCCCAGGATTTAGAGACAACTCCCGGAAGATAGTGATATATTACCACCCCCCAGGATTTAGAGACAACTCCCGGAAGATAGTGATCAATTACCATCCCCCAGGATTTAGAGACAACTCCCGTAAGATAGTGATATATTTCCACCCCCAGGATTTAGAAACAACTCCCGGAAGATAGTGATCAATTTCCACCCCCACGATTTAGAGACAACTCCCGGAAGATAATGATCTATTTCCACCCCCCAGGATTTAGAGACAACTCCCAGAAGATAGTGATCAATTACCATCGCCCAGGATTAAGAGACAACTCCCGGAAGATAGTGATCAATTACCATCCCCCAGGATTTAGAGACAACTCCCGGAAGATAGTGATCAATTTCCATCCCCCAGGATTTAGAGACAACTCCCGGAAGATAGTGATCAATTACCACCCCCCAGGATTTAGAGACAACTCCCGGAAGATAGTGATCAATTTCCACCCCAGGATTTAGAGACAACTCCCGGAAGATAGTGATCAATTTCCACCCCCCAGGATTTAGAGACAACTCCCGGAAGATAGTGATCAATTTCCATCCCCCAGGATTTAGAGACAACTCCCGGAAGATAGTGATCAATTTCCATCCCCCAGGATTTAGAGACAACTCCCGGAAGATAGTGATCAATAACCATCCCCAGGATTTAGAGACAACTCCCGGAAGATAGTGATCAATTTCCATACCCCCAGGATTTAGAGACAACTCCCGGAAGATAGTGATCAATTTCCACCCCAGGATTTAGAGACAACTCCCGGAAGATAGTGATCAATTACCATCCCCCAGGATTTAGAGACAACTCCCGGAAGATAGTGATCAATTACCGTCCCCCAGGATTTAGAGACAACTCCCGGAAGATAGTGATCTACATGACAGATCAGGGGTCCCACATTGCTGGAGACGGGAGGTTAGGGGGGATATTCACTCCGAATGACGGAGAGTGTCACACGGGGACGGAGTATCCCGGACAGTATACTAAGAGTCTGGATATGGACTATCCCTCTATTGAACAGGTTAGATATTACAGTAGAGGCAACATGGACTATCCTTCTATTGAACAGGTTATATATTACAGTAGAGGCAACATGGACTATCCTTCTATTGAACAGGTTATATATTACAGTAGAGGCAACATGGACTATCCCTCTATTGAACAGGTTATATATTACAGTAGAGGCAACATGGACTATCCCTCTATTGAACAGGTTATATATTACAGTAGAGGCAACATGGACTATCCCTCTATTGAACAGGTTATATATTACAGTAGAGGCAACATGGACTATCCCTCTATTGAACAGGTTTGGAAATTCGTTGGGTTGTTGAAACCAGGGTGACATACACCATACTGAGGCAAGCTAAAGCTGTGTTGTGCTAATTGAACTTGTTTCAGGTAAACAGAAGGTTGATAGAGAACGATATAATCCCGATATTCGCTGTGGGAGAGAGGGTTTTGGAAATGTACAAGCAAATATCAGACCATCTCACCCAGCTATCTAGTGTGGGTACGTAACCATGGTAACCATGGTAACGTGTAACCATGGTAACGTGTAACCATGGTAACGTGTAACCATGGTAACGTGTAACTATGGTAACGTGTAACCATGGTAACGTGTAACCATGGTAACGTGTAACCATGGTAACGTGTAACCATGGTAACGTGTAACCATGGTAACGTGTAACCATGGTAACGTGTAACCATGGTAACGTGTAACCATGGTAACGTGTAACCATGGTAACGTGTAACCATGGTAACGTGTAACTATGGTAACGTGTAACCATGGGAACAACTTTAAATACTCTGAGCTTTAATATATTGAGTCCAAATACTGAACTGTTGAGCTGAAAGCACAATCCAATGTCCTTCATGTGTTACTAAACAGAGTTCACTCCAAGTCTGTTGTTACCATGGTTACACACTCACATGGTTACTGAGTTCACTCCAAGGATTAACTTTTTAATGTTTTGGACACGGTGTATCAACAAGAAAGATGATATGGAAATCAACGTATTTATAAACCCCCAAGAAGAAGGATGGTGTTCAAATGTTTAATTATATAATATCTCAGGGCAGTTGAGTGAAGATGGTTCCAATTTAGTCGACGTCGTCAGAACTTCTCTTGATAGGATCACGACCACTATAAACCTTGGTATGTTTTATAGGTTGCTATGGTGATAGTATATATATATGGTATAGGTATATTATATTACTATATTACAAATTTTGCCTCAGATATATGTTTTTTACGTTTTGAGTTTTGAACACCTGTTTTTTAGATCATGAATACGATGTAGTTACATTGAAACGTCGAGTAAACTCCTTTTCCCTAATAAGAGCATTTTCACTTGTCGCAGTAACCGGGATAAATATAATTTTACACAGAATACATTGCAACAATGCGACTCATAAAGAATACTCCAATCCGGATTTTACATATTACAAATAGTTAGCTTATCCAGTTGAGACCATGTGGCCATGGCTGGAAGGGGCCTCATTTATATCTCAGACTGTCCAAGTGTCCGCGACAGCGCCAACACAGTAACCATGGTAGCTGTGAGTGTGTAACCATGGTAACAACAGGCAACGTTACGCCACTGGTCCACTAACTGTCTTAAATTTCATATCAGAGATGAAAATTCTGCTCACAAAAGGTCATACTATATACATCATACTATATACATCATAATATATACGTCATAATATACGTCATACTATATAAGTATATAATCTGATATAGATTTTCAGAATTGTCATATAGCATCATATCATTCTGCAGTGGTACTGGATGCTGTAGGAGTGAACGTTGAGATAAAACCACTTTGTAACCACTTTATTCTGCAGTGGTACTGGATGCTATAGGAGTGAACGTTGAGATAAAACCACTTTGTAACCACTTTATTCTGCAGTGGTACTGGATGCTATAGGAGTGAACGTTGAGATAAAACCACTTTGTAACCACTTTATTCTGCAGTGGTACTGGATGCTATAGGAGTGAACGTTGAGATAAAACCACTTTGTAACCACTTTATTCTGCAGTGGTACTGGATGCTGTAGGAGTGAACGTTGAGATAAAACCACTTTGTAACCACTTTATTCTGCAGTGGTACTGGATGCTATAGGAGTGAACGTTGAGATAAAACCACTTTGTAACCACTTTATTTTGCAGTGGTACTGGATGCTGTAGGAGTGAACGTTGAGATAAAACCACTTTGTAACCACTTTATTCTGCAGTGGTACTGGATGCTATAGGAGTGAACGTTGAGATAAAACCACTTTGTAACCACTTTATTCTGCAGTGGTACTGGATGCTATAGGAGTGAACGTTGAGATAAAACCACTTTGTAACCACTTTATTTTGCAGTGGTACTGGATGCTATAGGAGTGAACGTCGAGATAAAACCACTTTGTAACCACTTTATTCTGCAGTGGTACTGGATGCTGTAGGAGTGAACGTTGAAATAAAACCACTTTGTAACCACTTTATTCTGCAGTGGTACTGGATGCTGTAGGAGTGAACGTTGAGATAAAACCACTTTGTAACCACTTTATTCTGCAGTGGTACTGGATGCTATAGGAGTGAACGTTGAGATAAAACCACTTTGTAACCACTTTATTCTGCAGTGGTACTGGATGCTGTAGGAGTGAACGTTGAGATAAAACCACTTTGTAACCACTTTATTCTGCAGTGGTACTGGATGCTGTAGGAGTAAACGTTGAGATAAAACCACTTTGTAACCACTTTATTTTGCAGTGGTACTGGATGCTATAGGAGTGAACGTTGAGATAAAGCCACTTTGTAACCACTTTATTCTGCAGTGGTACTGGATGCTATAGGAGTGAACGTTGAGATAAAACCACTTTGTCACCACTTTATTCTGCAGTGGTACTGGATGCTGTAGGAGTGAACGTTGAGATAAAACCACTTTGTAACCACTTTATTCTGCAGTTGTACTGGATGCTGTAGGAGTGAACGTTGAGATAAAACCACTTTGTAACCACTTTATTCTGCAGTGGTAGTGGATGCTGTAGGAGTGAACGTTGAGATAAAGCCACTTTGTAACCACTTTATTTTGCAGTGGTACTGGATGCTGTAGGAGTGAACGTTGAGATAAAACCACTTTGTAACCACTTTATTCTGCAGTGGTACTGGATGCTGTAGGAGTGAACGTTGAGATAAAACCACTTTGTAACCACTTTATTCTGCAGTGGTACTGGATGCTGTAGGAGTGAACGTTGAGATAAAACCACTTTGTAACCACTTTATTCTGCAGTGGTACTGGATGCTATAGGAGTGAACGTTGAGATAAAACCACTTTGTAACCACTTTATTCTGCAGTGGTACTGGATGCTGTAGGAGTGAACGTAATTGAGATAAAACCACTTTGTAACCACTTTATTCTGCAGTGGTACTGGATGCTATAGGAGTGAACGTTGAGATAAAACCACTTTGTAACCACTTTATTCTGCAGTGGTACTGGATGCTGTAGGAGTGAACGTTGAGATAAAACCACTTTGTAACCACTTTATTCTGCAGTGGTACTGGATGCTGTAGGAGTGAACGTTGAGATAAAACCACTTTGTAACCACTTTATTCTCCAGTGGTACTGGATGCTATAGGAGTGAACGTTGAGATAAAACCACTTTGTAACCACTTTATTCTGCAGTGGTACTGGATGCTGTAGGAGTGAACGTTGAGATAAAACCACTTTGTAACCACTTTATTCTCCAGTGGTACTGGATGCTATAGGAGTGAACGTTGAGATAAAACCACTTTGTAACCACTTTATTCTGCAGTGGTACTGGATGCTATAGGAGTGAACGTTGAGATAAAACCACTTTGTAACCACTTTATTCTGCAGTGGTACTGGATGCTATTATAGGAGTGAACGTTGAGATAAAACCACTTTGTAACCACTTTATTCTGCAGTGGTACTGGATGCTGTAGGAGTGAACGTTGAGATAAAACCACTTTGTAACCACTTTATTCTGCAGTGGTACTGGATGCTATAGGAGTGAACGTTGAGATAAAACCACTTTGTAACCACTTTATTCTGCAGTGGTACTGGATGCTGTAGGAGTGAACGTTGAGATAAAACCACTTTGTAACCACTTTATTCTGCAGTGGTACTGGATGCTGTAGGAGTGAACGTTGAGATAAAACCACTTTGTAACCACTTTATTCTGCAGTGGTACTGGATGCTATAGGAGTGAACGTTGAGATAAAACCACTTTGTAACCACTTTATTCTGCAGTGGTACTGGATGCTGTAGGAGTGAACGTTGAGATAAAACCACTTTGTAACCACTTTATTCTGCAGTGGTACTGGATGCTGTAGGAGTGAACGTTGAGATAAAACCACTTTGTAACCACTTTATTCTGCAGTGGTACTGGATGCTATAGGAGTGAACGTTGAGATAAAACCACTTTGTAACCACTTTATTCTGCAGTGGTACTGGATGCTATAGGAGTGAACGTTGAGATAAAACCACTTTGTAACCACTTTATTCTGCAGTGGTACTGGATGCTATAGGAGTGAACGTTGAGATAAAACCACTTTGTAACCACTTTATTCTGCAGTGGTACTGGATGCTGTAGGAGTGAACGTTGAGATAAAACCACTTTGTAACCACTTTATTCTGCAGTGGTACTGGATGCTGTAGGAGTGAACGTTGAGATAAAACCACTTTGTAACCACTTTATTCTGCAGTGGTACTGGATGCTGTAGGAGTGAACGTTGAGATAAAACCACTTTGTAACCACTTTATTCTGCAGTGGTACTGGATGCTGTAGGAGTGAACGTTGAGATAAAACCACTTTGTAACCACTTTATTCTGCAGTGGTACTGGATGCTGTAGGAGTGAACGTTGAGATAAAACCACTTTGTAACCACTTTATTCTGCAGTGGTACTGGATGCTGTAGGAGTGAACGTTGAGATAAAACCACTTTGTAACCACTTTATTCTGCAGTGGTACTGGATGCTATAGGAGTGAACGTTGAGATAAAACCACTTTGTAACCACTTTATTCTGCAGTGGTACTGGATGCTGTAGGAGTGAACGTTGAGATAAAACCACTTTGTAACCACTTTATTCTGCAGTGGTACTGGATGCTGTAGGAGTGAACGTTGAGATAAAACCACTTTGTAACCACTTTATTTTGCAGTGGTACTGGATGCTGTAGGAGTGAACGTTGAGATAAAACCACTTTGTAACCACTTTATTCTGCAGTGGTACTGGATGCTGTAGGAGTGAACGTTGAGATAAAACCACTTTGTAACCACTTTATTCTGCAGTGGTACTGGATGCTGTAGGAGTGAACGTTGAGATAAAACCACTTTGTAACCACTTTATTCTGCAGTGGTACTGGATGCTGTAGGAGTGAACGTTGAGATAAAACCACTTTGTAACCACTTTATTCTGCAGTGGTACTGGATGCTGTAGGAGTGAACGTTGAGATAAAACCACTTTGTAACCACTTTATTCTGCAGTGGTACTGGATGCTATAGGAGTGAACGTTGAGATAAAACCACTTTGTAACCACTTTATTCTGCAGTGGTACTGGATGCTGTAGGAGTGAACGTTGAGATAAAACCACTTTGTAACCACTTTATTTTGCAGTGGTACTGGATGCTGTAGGAGTGAACGTTGAGATAAAACCACTTTGTAACCACTTTATTCTGCAGTGGTACTGGATGCTGTAGGAGTGAACGTTGAGATAAAACCACTTTGTAACCACTTTATTCTGCAGTGGTACTGGATGCTGTAGGAGTGAACGTTGAGATAAAACCACTTTGTAACCACTTTATTCTGCAGTGGTACTGGATGCTGTAGGAGTGAACGTTGAGATAAAACCACTTTGTAACCACTTTATTCTGCAGTGGTACTGGATGCTGTAGGAGTGAACGTTGAGATAAAACCACTTTGTAACCACTTTATTTTGCAGTGGTACTGGATGCTGTAGGAGTGAACGTTGAGATAAAACCACTTTGTAACCACTTTATTTTGCAGTGGTACTGGATGCTGTAGGAGTGAACGTTGAGATAAAACCACTTTGTAACCACTTTATTCTGCAGTGGTACTGGATGCTGTAGGAGTGAACGTTGAGATAAAACCACTTTGTAACCACTTTATTCTGCAGTGGTACTGGATGCTGTAGGAGTGAACGTTGAGATAAAACCACTTTGTAACCACTTTATTCTGCAGTGGTACTGGATGCTGTAGGAGTGAACGTTGAGATAAAACCACTTTGTAACCACTTTATTCTGCAGTGGTACTGGATGCTGTAGGAGTGAACGTTGAGATAAAACCACTTTGTAACCACTTTATTTTGCAGTGGTACTGGATGCTGTAGGAGTGAACGTTGAGATAAACCACTTTGTAACCACTTTATTCTGCAGTGGTACTGGATGCTGTAGGAGTGAACGTTGAGATAAAACCACTTTGTAACCACTTTATTCTGCAGTGGTACTGGATGCTATAGGAGTGAACGTTGAGATAAAACCACTTTGTAACCACTTTATTCTGCAGTGGTACTGGATGCTGTAGGAGTGAACGTTGAGATAAAACCACTTTGTAACCACTTTATTCTGCAGTGGTACTGGATGCTATAGGAGTGAACGTTGAGATAAAACCACTTTGTAACCACTTTATTCTGCAGTGGTACTGGATGCTGTAGGAGTGAACGTTGAGATAAAACCACTTTGTAACCAAAAGAACGGATCTCACGCTTGTGGCGGAGTTAAATACGATCAAACTGTCAGATTCAATGTGAGCGAAGCGTCCAACTTATAACCATGGCAACTTCACTGAAGTTGTTTTAAATTTCTTTATCAGATCTGCTGATTTGCAAGCGCCCATTGAAGGGATGCAAGTCCAAGAAAAGTTGTATACTTTCTAATTCTTGAGCTTGTTTGGAAACTGTTCACATATACACATATCATTAGCGTTCTGATTGGTCATTAAGATTTTCCATTGGAGACAACGCTATACTCTCCCAGATAACCTTCTCGTTTGATGAATGTAACGCTGACACGCCAGACAAGATTACTGTCCCATCGTTGTTACTGGTAACACAAATCGAGCTATTCTAATATTTCATCCAAAAATTTGAGTTTGAGTGGGAAAAATGCTGATCTTGCAACGCCATAGAAATGTTTGTGACATAAGTGGGGAAATTGAACGTATGTAAAAACATATTATGAAGGAGCAGTATGACACTCTCCCCATCTCAACAGGTTTCTCTACAATACTGGTGGAAGTAACTACACAGTGTAAATGCGAGTGTGAGGTTAGGAAGTTTGATGACTTGTGTTTGAACAAGGGGCATCTGGTCTGCGGGGTCTGTCACTGTCTGGAGGTTAGTAACCATGGTAACTAGTTAGCAACCATAGTAACTTGTAGTTAGTATTTAAAGAAGTAAAGGATGGTTAGCATTTTTAGATTTTAAATGTGTTCTTGAGGTTAGGCGTTATCATTTTAGTGTTCAGGGTTACTAAGTAACTGTGTTCAGGGTTACTAAGCAACTGTGTTCAGGGTTACTAAGCAACTGTATTCAGGGTTACTAAGCAACTGTTTCCAGGGTTACTACGGTGAGACGTGTAACTGCAGCACTGGAGCACCAGAAAGTAAAGATAATTTGAATAAGTGCACTTCTACTGATACGTCCACCCTCAAGAAGATGTTCAAAACTACTTCTGTTTCCTCCGTCACAGCCGCCCAGAAGGTATATTATAGTTACCATGGTTACGATAGTTTCCGAGTTTACAACTGTACAATTGATTTACAACTATTGAATCTACTCCGTAACTTTGCAACAATAGTCTTTTTCCAGCTCGTGTGACTGCAGCTAAATCAGTTTGTTGGCAGGTGTGCAGTTCCCAAGGTAGCTGTGAGTGTGTTACCATGGTAACTTATAACCATGGTTACGTGTAATCATGCTAAATCAGTCTGTTGGCAGGTGTGCAGCTCCCAAGGTAGCTGTGAGTGTGGGAAGTGCTTGTGCAGACAACCCGACACCCCACCCGATATAGAGAGACCTTTTGTGGAGTATGGAGACTACTGTCAGTGCAATAATTACCAGTGCCCCAAGGGAGGCAACGGCAAGGTAGGGTTACTAAGCAACTGTTTCCAGGGTTACTACGGCAAGGTAGGGTTACTAAGCAACTGTTTCCAGGGTTACTACGGCAAGGTAGGTGTGGGTTAACCATTGTTTAGTTGTCACAATAGGGCAACAAAACATATCACAGAAAATGTAAATATTTAACTACACTACATTATCACAATGTAAATACATTATCTCTGCAGGTGTGTTCGGGAGACGGGTTTTGTGATTGTGGAAGGTGTAACTGTAACGTAACGTCTTTCGGAGTACCCAAATCAGAAGTGTTCGTAGATGGAGATGCTTGTGATTGCACTATCAGCGACGAGCAGTGTAAAGATGGTATGTTCCAGTGATAATCTTTCCAAACACCAAACGAGTAGTTAGGTTAAGCTACAAAGTGTAAGGAAATGATCGATATTTCTAAGGTTACATGAAATTTAAAGTACAAACATTAACAATGCTTTTCAGAGAGTGGCGAAGTTTGTTCCGGAGCCGGGGAGTGTGTTTGTGGGAAGTGCCAATGTGATGCTAAACACAGGTAACCATGGTAACTTATAATAATTCCCCCAGTCCCCCAATGTCTTGTTGATGCTCTCCCTTTAGACACACCCCTCTAGTACTCAAGTAGCCCCCCCCCCTCCCTCAAATAGTCCCCCTCCCTCAAATAGCCCCTACAACACTACTCCTTCAGAGGGAAGTACTGTCAGATATGTGACCTGTGTGGCCCTCTCAACTGTCAAACACACGTGGACTGTGTTCTCTGTCGCACTCTCAGGTTTATGATCTCTATATGTTACCTAGCAACCAGTTACCTAAGATCTATAGTAGGTTACCGTGGTTACACGTTACCATGGTTACACTAACACTAATAGGTTATCATCGTATAACTCTCTGACTAGCAGATTCATATAAATTATATGATTACCACCCATTATATTGTAACAACGGAAACGGACCTTATCTAATCTGTTTTAGTCTTTAAATCAGTATTTGCTGATCAAACGACTCAGTTACCTAGCAACCAGATACCTAGCAACCAGTTACCTAACAACCAGTAACCTAGCAACCAGTTACCTAGCAACCAGTTACCTAGCAACCAGTAACCTAGCAACCAGTTACCTAGCAACCAGTTACCTAACAACCAGTAACCTAGCAACCAGTTACCTAGCAACCAGTTACCTAGCAACCAATTACCTAGCAACCAGTCACCTAACAACCAGTTACCTAGCAACCAGTTACCTAACAACCAGACAACTCGAGAGAAGCTATACAAATTAATTTACAATAAGCTTTATAAATAAATCCTCAAACAACGTAACGTTCAACACATTCAGACTGGATACAGATAACGGGGAATCATGCGGAGCTTACTGTAACAACCCTAGTATAGACACAGACAAGTACAGGGTACTGGAGGATGCGGACAAGTTCCTTCAGGATAATGAGATGTCTAGTAATGTCCAGGTACCTTGCTTGTATTTTCTTATTGTACAGTGTCGGCCAGGATAATGTTAAACTATATAAAACTTATATAAATAATTGCAGGATTGAATCCCTTAATATCCCTATACTTTTCTGTTTGTTTCAGTTTGCGGTTATTTTGCAGGCGAGGAAACGTTAATGAAAGTTGGTTGCATCCTGTAATCCCTTACGTACTAATTTCTTAAACGTCCTAAAAGCTGCATTCAATTAAAATATCCCACAGCTGCTGAACTGCGGAGAGAATAACGATAACGAAACAGAGTGTGTTGTAAAGTTCTACATTGCTCTGCAGAACAACTCTTTACCAGATCAACCTGGTCAGATAGATTACGAGGTTCTGATAGACTCAGTGGTGTGGTGCGATGATAAGGTTAGTGTAACCATGGTAACGTGTAACCATGGTAACTTGTAACCATGGTAACTTATAACCATGGTAACTTGTAACCATGGTAACTAATAACCATGGTTACGTGTATGACTATGATGATAAAATATATTATAGTTCTCTTTTCTTCAGACATTACAACTGTTGGTAATGAGCTGTAAATTATAAGCTGTGCTGGTTTTCACTTTCAAGTTATTTTAGCGGATACGCCGGTAAAATTTCTAAAAAAGTGCTCGTACATTAGTTAAGTTTTTCAAAATTGTCCCACATTCAAACGACGTGGTCTCCTCTCTCCAACACTCGGCACTTACTGATTAGCTGATTAAATGATTAGCTGATCATACTTTATTGATTGACGAGGCCCCAACTGCACCGCAATTATTGATGGAAAGAATTTGAGTAAGATACTGCTACAAATACAATAGATTGCTTTGAAAGTGCTTTACCAAAATAAAAAGCTACTGCTTTGATATACAGACTTTACGATGCACAGATTTTCCGTTTCTTATTGCTGGCGATTGGTGTGAAGGCTGTGCGACTGTAAAGAGCTGATGGAGTTGCTAATTGCTATGGTTACTAACTGAATCTTGAGAGTGATTGCTATGGTTACTAACTGAATCTTGAGAGTGATTGCTATGGTTACTAACCCCTCCGCACTCCAGCACATGTTTAAAGCCTATCAGATGATAATAGCCGCTGTTATCGGAGCTACCCTGCCGAGTATTGTTGTGTTTGTCATCTGGCAAGTTACACTCTACATGAAGATAAAGAGACACTTCTCCAGTGTAAAGGACTCGAACAACAGGAAATAATACATTGTAATAGTGTAAAGGACTCGAACAACAGGAAATAATACATCGTAATAGTGCCAAGGACTCGAACAACAGGAAATAATATACCGTTCTAGCAGAGCTGCAGACTCAACCTCCTGATAAAAGGAACATTTCTTATTTAATTGTTTGAAACACTTGATATTTAGCGGACATTTATTTTAATTATTGGGCCGAGGAAACTGGTTGTATTTGTACACAGCTGCAGCTAACAGTGTATTATCCACTTTTTATTTTAAAGTTGCGAATTAAATTATTAGCTTTTATTTATAACATTTATTTATTGGCAAATTTCATTTTCCTTGATTAACTTCATGAATTTTCGTCATCATTAAATTCAAAAAGCGTAAAATTCTCCATTTTATCGTGATCTCTTGAGTTCAAAACAAGTTCAAACAAATCTGACAGCACTCGTTAGTTGGTCATTTAAGACAAATTCGGTAAAACAGTGAAATTTGGGTCGCGGAAAGCTAAAATCTGACAATGTCATACCGGTAGGACATTTTAAAAATTTTCATTCCGTCAAAGTTTTCTCCAGATATCATGCTGGTTCCAATACCATGATGACGACTTGTGTCGCTCTCACCGACCTCACTGATTGGTCACCATGGTAGAAAATTCAGCCAAAACCTCTAAATAACGTGTAACCATGTTAACTTGTAACCATGGTAACGTGTAACCATGGTAACGTGTAACCATGGTAACGTGTAACCATGGTAACGTGTAACCATGGTAACGTGTAACCATGGTAACGTGTAACCATGGTAACGTGTAACCATGGTAACGTGTTACCATGGTAACGTGTAACCATGGTAACGTGTAACCATGGTAACGTGTTACCATGGTAACGTGTAACCATGGTAACGTGTAACCATGGTAACGTGTAACCATGGTAACGTGTAACCATGGTAACGTGTAACCATGGTAACGTGTAACCATGGTAACGTGTAACCATGGTAACGTGTAACCATGGTAACGTGTAACCATGGTAACGTGTAACCATGGTAACGTGTAACCATGGTAACGTGTAACCATGGTAACGTGTAACCATGGTAACGTGTAACCATGGTAACGTGTAACCATGGTAACGTGTAACCATGGTAACGTGTAACCATGGTAACGTTAATGAAATTTGGTTAAGTGCTGCATCCTGTAATCCCTTACGTACTAATTTCTTAAACGTCCTAAAAGCTCCAAGGAAACAGAAGAAATGCTTTCCTTCAAATATATTCCAAAATCTCTTTTTCTATTCTGATGATTTTCCGTTTATCAAAGCTTTCTTTGGGAATAGAACTTTTCAATTGTGACTTGTGCCATCCTCAGTGACCTTGCTAGACGATCATTCAAGGAAAATTCCGTCAAAACAGTGAAATTTGGGTCGCGGAAAGCTGAAATCTGAAAATGTCCTGCCGGTATAGGTCATTTTCAAAATTTACATTCCGTCAAAGTATTCTTGGAAACAGCAGAAATGCTGTTTTTCAAAAATATTCGCTTTCTTTGGAGATAGAACTTTCAGCACCTCAATTGTGACTTGTGCCATTCATCCATCACATCCTCAGTGACCTTGCTAGACGATCATTCAGAAAAAAAAACAGTTAAAGCTGTGAAATTTGGGTCGCGGAAAGCTAAACTCTAAAAATGTCCTACCGGTGGCGGTAGGACATTTTCAAAATTTTCATTCCGTCAAAGTATTTTCCAGATATACTGGTTCCAATACCTTGATGGCGACTTGGGTCACTCTCACCGGTACCACTGATTGGTCGCCATGGTAACTGGTCAAAAATTTAGTCAAAATTTTTAAATTTCGGTTTAAGAAACGGAAGAAAAGCTGTTCTTCAAAAATATTCGCTTTCTTTTTTAACTTTTGTTTTATTAGAAAAGCTTCTATTCCAATATCTTCCAAATTGTTTCTTTCTATTCTGATGATGTTTCGTTTATATATAAGCTTTCTTTGGTAATTTATTATTAATGTAAAGATCCTTTTTGCTCCTTTAAAACCTTTTGTTTTCGCTTTTTCAACTTTTTATTTGTCAGATGAGGTTTAAATTCCATCGTAAAGTTGCTGTTCTACACAGTGTGGCATTTTCCTATTAAGAGTGCCCTTGTGAGGGATTATTACATTTTATAATACATTTGTTAAGATCAAAATTGGTCATTAGAACCACCCGGCCGGGCACCGTCTCGGTTTACAATCATATATACTCAATTTTACTCATTTATAATTATATTCAATCATTCGACCGGTAAGAAGCACTCTTTTAAACGCTTTATTGGGTTAATAACCATATTTAGTCGACCATTTATCATTAATGTACAGAAAAAGACATGATTGTTTGTTCAAAATAAAATTAACACAACTTTTAGGAAAATAACACTGTACTGCTCGTCTGTTACCGTGGTTACCTGTTTTTACCATACGTACCACTAACCAAATATAAATTACATAATAATTTGTAATATATTATAATGATATATTATAATTCATTAAACATACTAAAAAAGTAAAGATCTCATGCTTTTGAATAGACATAATTGTAAATAATAAATATGCACAATGATTAAGGAATAGCTTTCTTTCACCGTCCAGAACCAACATCCTGAAAAAAGTCAAGATGGTTAAATCTGAAAATATATCTTGTATACTTCTCCACGCAGCACTCCGGGATGTATAATTATTATGAAGGTATAAAATGGTTAGATCTTAGTGTTATAAAACTGTACTAACCTAGTATAAACTTGAGTGTTATATACGTGTAACCATGGTAACGTTACAACGCTACTTGAAAACGCACCCATCTTTATTAAACGTTAGATTTGTGATACACAGCATTAGTAACGTGTAACCATGGTAACGGTAAAAGTATTCAACTTAAAGCTTTAAAGGATTTATTGAAATCACTTACGAGAACGTGGAAGTGATAAGATGTTTTTTGCTTATGAATAAATTAACTGTCGTTGAGACATGAACTGAGTGAAATTGAAAACTTTAGATTTAGAATATTAAAATACAATCATGATACGGCAATCTGAAATAATATAAAATGCGATCTTAACAGACAAACAAGAAATAAAGCGAATCGTAGTTCAATAAAGCAAATTCACCGGGCAAATGGGAAATAACGTCAAGTTAGCTGCCACTAATATAGAATACAATGCGCATGTGAAGGAAACACGTGATGCCCATATAAGGAAACACTCTAAAAATAACATTTTGTAGTTTCCTGCTGCACATACTCATTATTCTCTGCTCTGATAATGAGAGCTTCTCATCATATTATTAACTGTTACCATGGTAACAATACCTTATATCGCAGTGTTACTGTTACTATGGTAACAGTACATTATATCGCAGTGTTACTGTTACAATGGTATTAATACCTTATATCGCAGTGTTACTGTTACCATGGTAACAATACCTTATATGGTAATCAGGTATCAGCTAGCTATTGTCGTATTGTGCACTCTACAATAAAACTAAAGGTATTACTATTTGTATAGAACTTCAGAAGGTGTGATATCTATAATTCAGGTGCCAACTGTCAGTACTGAAAATAGTGGAAAATCTTTATATAGCATCGACCATCGTGTTGACGCCTTTGGATTTTATTTTATAATCTTGTGATTTTCTATCATCGAGGTATTCGGTTAGCTGTACATTGAATAAAAATACAAAATTCAGTTTGGGCACCTCCTTAGTGCAGGAGTGCCCCCCCCCCCCCAGTGCAGAAGTATCCCCCCAGTGCAGGAGCACCCCCCCCCCCCCCCCCCCAATCCTAACGCTAAACATTGCTCAGACCCAACCCTGCGAATGAGTTGTTCAAAAATTTAATTAAAAATTTATCTAATGAATATAACAATTCATCTGTAAGCTGTTTTATACTAGCAACATGTATGACGCATGTATCTTCCTTTAGCTCTTTAGTGATTTTATATCGTAGTGTTAAATTTAAAACTAATGACCAGGATCATTATTAAAACTGACCCCAGCCCTAACCTCAACTCTTAGCCTAGCCCTAACCTCACCACTAAGTTACCATGGTAACAGTAAAACTCACCACTATAATGTCCACTTACTGACATCACAAAGCATGCACCTAGATATCACGTATAAACACTTCGTGTTAAAATACACTACGATAATCCTCCTTCACACCTTTCGTAAAATATGTTCATTTTAGTACAGAAACCTTTTCTGTTGCAAGGTGTGTTGTTAGGGTGTGTTACCATAGCAACACTACCCTATATGGCAGGGTGTGCCTGTATTGCACATTAGACCACATAAAACTCAACTTACCGGAAATCCGGCCTGGTCACGAAAAAAACAATCAGGAATAAAAAACAATTGCGATCCGGAAGTATCATAGCAGCTTTACTATAGTGTAATGATTTAGAATTGTCGGCTAAGATCTCTGATAATAATAAAATAGGGCCTTGCAGTATTTCCACTCGGAACGCTAGGAACTTTGTGCATACTTCGAGTTCAATTAACGTATTTTTGACCGTAGAATCGATTAAAAGTGGTCAGGTAATGATTGAACTTAGATTGGCTGAAATTATTGACAATTTCTAAAAATGGCTGCACTAAAGTAAGATAGCACAATATTTCACCATATTAATAGTACCTTTTATGGTACCAGCAGTTACCATGGTAAAATTTCCTTACATCGCAGTGTTACCATGGTAACACTACCTTATAAGCTACTATATTTCAGGGTAGCCCGGTATCATGGATTTCAGTGGGTATTGTTGCGGATTTTCTAGTTCCAGCTGGTACCATGATAACATTGCCTTATATGGTAGTGTTGCCATGGTAACACTATATATTTCAGGGGAGCCCAGTATGGATGTCAGTGGGTATTGTAGCTGGTTTGCTACTTCCAGCTTTTGTAGGTCTCCTTATCTGGAAACTCTACACAAGACACATGGACCAACAGGAGTATCTCAAGTTTGAGGAGATCAACAAAACCGCTCAGTGAGTTACTGGTCACCATGGTGATCATGAGTGAGTTACTAGTCACCATGGTGACTGTTGAGACCATACATTTGATTCTTGTTCAAATAAGCAATAATAAGTCACACGGCTAATCATGTAGAACCCGACTTATAAATCTAGACGCTAGTTAAAATATGGTAGCGTTACCATGGTAACATTGCCTTATATAGAAATGTTGCCATAGCAACACTACCTTATATGGTAGCGTTGTAAAACTAACTGATCTCCGTCTACAGGTGGAGAACTACTGAGAGCCCGATATACCAAGCAGCAGTTACCACTTACCAGAACCCTACTTATCGGCAACTCAACTCTTCTACCTCTCTCAAACGAGGATCTTCGCTGAGGAGGAACTTGTCCCTTTTGAAAAGAGGAAACACAAAACAAAACCTAAACTCTGGAACTGATACGTGAGGGGGGCAGGAGTTTATCTCACGTTAATTAACTTCAATTCCTGGACGGTAATGATTAATTAAAGATCATGTTTAATTTTTTGTCTAAAGTATAATTAAAATGACAAAGTTCCGGTTTGGTATGGGTGATGGTTTGGATTACGGAAAATGCAGACATTGTTACCATGGTAACAGTGCAGACACCGTGTGTTTCTAGAATTGCTCTGACACTCTGCTCATCCTTTCTGATTCTGATATTTCAAGTTTTTGATTCGTAATTTGATAGGAATATGACTGATTAAATACTTCATATTTGTGACATTTTATTTTGGATGTTCATTTGTACAATTGTGATGCATTTTGAATATTTATTTGTCAAGTTTTCTCGTTATTGTACTTGAATGTATATATTGTATTTCACTGTTCCTTTACCGCTATGTCGGCTATGTCGGCTATGTCGGCATAAGGAGAAACAAATAAATCGCCGACGTATTTTCAAAACTACACTTTGATCTTTGTGTGAATTGCGAAATAAAGTTTTTAAGTATTCTATCCAACGTGCGCGAAGAAGTCACGTGACTTTTGCGCATTGTGCGCGCACACCACGTGCTTTTGCGCGCACACCACGTGGTCGTGTAGGTGTTGTTCATTGGTCGGCTCTAAAGTTACGGTTATGACCGATAAAGTGTCAGACCTATTAATAACAAGTTGTAAGATTTGGGAAGCGCATTCTGTCTACACTACCTCACTATGTGTTCTTAGAGGGTTCCCCGTAGTTTACCAGAATCCTCCTCGAAAATGAAAAGCTTCGGAAAACTAACAATTACAATTGTTGAGAAATCCTACTAAAAAGTGATGATCACAGAAATCTTAGAGCTGCTCTTTAGAGGAAAACGTCTGTACCAGGTAGTTCCCTTCTTCTAGCTTTGAAATGAATTAACTTGTTTGTGTGGCACATATTACTCCTCAAATTGTATTTTTTGTTGTACATTTTTATTCTCAATTTCTTAAACCCCCGATTCTGTATGTCTGTAATCTACACCATATCTCCGCAAGCAATCCTCACTTGAGAAGGAATCGTATAAGTTTCTTTGATGTAGTGCAGAGGCAGAGTCACCGTGGTAGTGAAGACGCAAAACTCCACAGTTGAATTGGGCTCTAATATTTTCATTACCTCGGTATAGCAATTTTCAAACACGCCTTAAAAGCTTAAACGCCATCGTTCCATTTGCTGTTAAATTCTTTGATCGATGCATGATATGCATGCTATTGCTAGGACTGATTATATGCAAAAACGAAAATGAGAGTTTTTCAAGTTCCAATTGTGGCTGGAATTAGCCGGACAGTTGCCAGAAAAGAGCCTTATTCCAGATGGCAGGGAGCAGGGAGCAGTTGTACGGCGTACAGTTCAAATAGTTGACCGTATAAACGAGTTTAGTTAATTTCACACAAATTTATCTCTATGCTTTGACTTAGTCGGCACTTAACCTCTCCCAATTCCTTAATTGCACGATTTTAACCTAGCTATTTTCCAACTCATTTCGCTGAATTTGTTTTTATTTCTCGGTCCGACATCTTTTGCTAGCTAGAACTTTTGAAAAATAGTTTTACTCGCTGTACCTAATTGTTTAATTTACTGTTCTGTAGAATATGATATTTTGCCACTATATTACTATACCAATACTAGTATAGATGCTACAATATGATACGTTACCATTATATTATTATATTACAATACTAACAAACCTTAATAGCAGTTTTGCCGGACTGATACTAACAAGAAAAAATTAAAACTTAACGTAAATGTGAAACTTCGTTAAATTTCACAGCACGTATTATGTGCAAGGTAAATGAGGGGTTTGCCATTTCACAGCATGTGAGCATGTATTATGTGCAAGGTAAATGAGGGGTTTGCCATTTTACAGCATGTATTATGTGCAGGGTAAATGAGGGGTTTGCCATTTTACAGCATGTATTATGTGCAAGGTAAATGAGGGGTTTGCCATTTCACAGCATGTATTATGTGCAGGGTAAATGAGGGGTTTGCCATTTCACAGCATGTATCATGTGCAGGGTAAATGAGGGGTTTGCCATTTCACAGCATCTATTATGTGCAAGGTAAATGAGGGGTGTGCCATTTCACAGCATGTATTATGTGCAAGGTAAATGAGGGGTTTGCCATTTCACAGCATGTATTATGTGCAAGGTAAATGAGGGGTTTGCCATTTCACAGCATGTATTATGTGCAAGGTAAATGAGGGGTTTGCCATTTCACAGCATGTATTATGTGCAAAGTAAATGAGGGGTTTGCCATTTCACAGCATGTATTATGTGCAGGGTAAATGAGGGGTTTGCCATTTCACAGCATGTATTATGTGCAAGGTAAATGAGGGGTTTGCCATTTCACAGCATGTGTTATGTGCAGGGTAAATGAGGGGTTTGACTACATCATTATATTTATTAGACACTACAAATCGAATCATTTTTGTATTTTATTATTATCTTGTGTGTTAACTGGTGAAGGAGTGTACCGTTATGGGGACTAGTTACCATGGTAACTAGTTGCCACACGTCACAAGTTTATCCCAACCCCTTACCGAGGATCTATTGTGTGCAGCTAATAATCGGTTCCATCCAATCATAACATAAAAGGAATGTTACCATGGTAACGCTACCATATAAGGTAATAATTGGGCCCATCCTATAAAACCCCAACTAGTTTCTACTGGTAATGTGTTGATGAGATCTTTAATACTTTTCCTTTGTGGCAGCGCCATTCGCCAAACACCTGTCGCTACATCCGCGTCAAGAGTTTGGGGTAAATAGTTGTAAATAGTTGTAAATAGTTGTAAATAGTTGTAAATAGTTGTAAATAGTTGTAAATAGTTGTAAATAGTTGTAAATAGTTGTAAATAGTTGTAAATAGTTGTAAATAGTTGTAAATAGTTGTAAATAGTTGTAAATAGTTGTAAATAGTTGTAAATAGTTGTAAATAGTTGTAAATAGTTGTAAATAGTTGTAAATAGTTGTAAATAGTTGTAAATAGTTGTAAATAGTTGTAAATAGTTGTAAATAGTTGTAAATAGTTGTAAATAGTTGTAAATAACGGCGGAGTTTTCAGAAGCGTATCGTTAGCGTGGTAATGAGTTATTGACGGTGAAAGTCATTTTCCACTTTACAATACGAGACTAAGGTATTCTAATCGACCAGTGAAGTGATGACAGTGGGTGTGCAGTTCCTGGCGTGGGACGGTGAGCAGGCCCCCACCTCCCGGTGACGCGAGGGGAGGACACCATCACAGCGCTCATATCTACTTAGCTTCTCCTCCACCAGTAAATACAGACTCCTCTCAGACCCAAACACAGCGCTCTGCTCGGACCCGGGACCATAACATAAACACTCGCCCAGACCCGGTAATAAGATAAGTCTTGTCCCCCGCCCGGCCTGGAAATTAGTGTTAATGAAGGAGCAGTCACTCACTAGAACACATGCACTTGTGCTAGTGTGGAAGCTAGTATCGGGTCCGGGTAATACCTCACGTGGTCGTCTGTCACTCAATTAGTAGCCTGCTCCTTCATAAATAATTTAATTAGTATCCGGGGCCCCTCCTCTTTCCCTACAGACAGAGCATCATTCTCGTAGTTCTTCTGTTTAGTACTTTTAATAACAATACTTAAGGTACCTGTACTTCACCTCACCTTGTTACCCGTTACTATAGCAACTTTGTAACCCGTCTTCACATCAGATGGCGATCATTTGTCATTTAATTTCATCTCCAGTGAAATTTACGAATTTTCAGACCAGTAAAGTGATAACTTTTAGAAATTAGAACAGTGTTCTGTTAAGAAACGTTCTAATAAGCGAGAGAGCCGGGAAAGATGAGTCAGAGTAAATGTCACGTGACCGTAATGTCACGTGATCTGGTCACCTTCATAACACAGCCTTACATCACCGATCGCACTTCCCTGAACGAATTATTTGTAATTTAGCTGAGCGTTTTACCGAAACCCCAAAACATCCTGCTACCCTGAGTTTATATTAACGCACCTCGCTAAATTAGATCAGTTTTCTCCTAATTAAGGGCACAGTCAATGCTCCTTCATAAGGTCAATAGTTATCGAGAGCCTGCGTTTGCGGGGGGCGGGGTAGAGGTGACGTACTGCACTTGTTTATCTGCTCCATCAACTCCCTATCTTCTGATACCGCATCTTTTGAGACACTCCGCATCTTTGACCGCTTACGTTTTCATAGCCCTGTAGCTTAAGTAGTAGCATGCTCCTTCATAAATAAATCAAGTAGTCCGACTAAACCCGCCTAACCCTAATGAGCAAATCGAATTTCAGAATTGTCATTAGGTCAGTTGAAACCAATAAACAACAATTACAACGGATTTAGATAACGTTTAAAAGTAAGCACTTTTAGGTCTAACCAGCGATCCAGGCAGTAATCTATCTATCGAGACATTTCAACCTCCCCGCTGTCGTGTTCGCTTGACATTTTTGGAATTGTTTCCGACCCAGAAATAAAGTTCCATTACTTTTACAGCCTCGTTTTGATGAACACCATGATTCTTGTCCACGTGCTTACCTTGTTCCTGCTCAAGTTGATTACCAGCAAACCTCTCGGCAGCAACAGTTGCGAGATTAAAAGACAGGACATCTGCTCCGAACTGGGATACGACTACACCTCCTTCCCCAACCAACTGGGGCACTCAACACAAGAGGTACGTACTCAGCTCCTATTGCTCCTTCATAAATAAATCAAGTTACCATCACGTGGTACACTAGATAGTTTACTAAGGTTTGTAGGCACGCGGTAAATAGATTGACTAGAAGTAGCGAGAATCAATAAAATACCAATCACCGGGTGACCCCGTCCCATGTTCCCCCCTGAAATTGAGTGGGACTGTTCCCGTCCAGACTGAAGAGGGTTAGATGTCAGAGACAGTCGTAACCAGGATCCAGGCAACATGCCCACTTATCTCCCTCACATCACTGATCCAACGTCTATATCCGTCCGTTTTGCCAAGCCTCGACGATTACCTAATAGATAGTTCATGCTCCATCACTTATAATTCGATAGCTTGTTCCTCTTGGTAACTGTTAACGTCTCTTTAAGACAAAGCAAGACAAGCATTTTGCAGGCCAATGATTGCTTTCTTTAGTAAACCAATAGAGTAAATACACTTTCCAGGGTCTGTAATAGACGTTACCTCCTCAATTATCACTTGTCATTTTGCAGAACACAGAGGTCACAAGTATGTTGTTTTGAAGGTGTCTCTGGATAAGTCCCTGATCATCACTCGATGTCTGGGTTATATCTCTCGTCCGCCCACTTGTATCTGCCAACAGTAAACACATAGGTTTATGAAGGAGTAATAATCCCCCGTCTTTAGGACCGATAGAACTGTTGTGGATCAACAAATCCCCAGCTTGGCCTCAGATCGCGGTAGATTTCTCCACAAACTGGCAAAGGAGGGAGTGTTTTAATATTTGTAGACTAAAACCCCGAGGTTACGAGTGATGCTGCCCAGATAGTGATTAGAGCTAGCTCAGTGGTTTGGTACGAGCTATGAAGGGCCCGCAAGGCTAGACAAATACGCTTTATTGGATAAAAAACCTCACTCAGGCGTGCTCCTTCATAAATAAATCAAGTAGTCTCCTTCGTATCACCTGCAGTATCTTATTCGGATGCTTTACTTAAAGCCTAAGTGTTTTCAAACTTTAGCGGTTTTACTTTTCGAGAAAAAGGAACAAGCCGCCCTACAAAAAAATCTGGTCCAATGCAAATTTTACCTTCCATCTCTCGGTTGCTTTTTATTTTCTTTCGAAAAAAACGACAAAATTATAAACTTTTATGTGCAGATAGACAACATTTTGAACCTTCGACCATAAACAACAAAATTATATTTTATTAATTAACGTATTTTTGGCTTATTGTTTAAATGTAATACTGCCTTTGTCGCTTGATTCAAACTATTAAGTTTATCAACTTGTTTTGATTAAAACTCTTCGTAAACATAATTACGTTCTTCAGAAATCTGAGCTTGCAAACAGCCTGTCCGATTATCTTTAACTTTCAAGCAATTTTCAATAATTTCGAAAATTTGGTCTCGAATTAAGATTCTACTTAATCTGGCCTATACTTTTGATTAATTTGGTTGCAATAGGAGCTTAAGCGAATTAAAAAGTTGTGCGTTAAAATTATGTCATTTTATCAATTTCTATTACACGTGCTTACTGTTATTCTGTAAAAATTCTTCCTTGAAATAAACGTAGTAAGAAAAACATTATAGTAGAAAAATATTTGGTGGGTAAAAATAATGATTGGCTCATAATTAGGCGATGAAATTGTTGATTGGTGAAAATGTTCGTGACGCCCGTCCGCGCCCACGATTTAGCCGAACTAATTTTAGCCGAGAGATAAGTTCAAATATTGGAAATATTTTACAATATCTTGAATACATTTGATTCAAGGAATATGCCCAGCCAAAGAAGCCGATAATCCCCGATTCTATGGCATCCTCCCAGTTTTTATGATTCTTAATCAAGATTACTACATTACTAGATTACTAGGATTCTTAATCGTAAATTGTTTCCTTCTTAGATTTTTGTGATTGATTCGGATCGATTGTAGTGAAAACAATGTGAAGTGAATTCTTGTTATTGAGCCTCTACTCAGTAAGTCAGTTAGAAAAGTAGAAGTGGATATTACTAGGATACTAGATTACTGGATTACTAGGTCACTAGGTTACTAGGTTACTAGGTCACTAGGAGACTAGGTTACTAGGTTACTAGGTTACTACGTTACTAGGTTACTAGATTACTAGGATACTAGATTATTAGGTTACTAGATTACTAGATTACTAGGTTACTAGGTTACTAGGTTACTAGATTGCTAGGATACTAGGTTACTAGGTTACTAGGTTACTAGATTACTAGGTTACTAGGTTATTAGATTACTAGGTTACTAGGTTACTAGATTACTAGATTGCTAGGATACTAGGTTACTGTTTTATTGGTTACTGGGTTACTAGGTTACTAGATTATTAGGTTACTGGGTTAATAAGTTACTAGGTTACTAGGCTACTATGTTACTAGGTTACTAGGTTACTAGATTACTAGGTTACTACGTCACTAAATTACGAGGTTACAAGGTTACTAGATTACTAGGCTACTACGTTACTAGGTTACTAGGTTATTAGATTACTAGGTTACTAGGTTACTAGGTTACTAGGTTACTAGGTTACTAGGTTACTAGGTTACTAGGTTACTAGATTATTAGATTATTAGGTTACTAGATTACTAGGTTACTAGGTTACTAGATTACTAGGTTACTAGGATACTAGATTATTAGGTTATTAGGTTACTAGGTTACTAGGTTACTAGGTTACTAGGTTACTAGGTTACTAGGTTACTAGGTTACTAGAGAGGTTCTCGGGACGTGTCGTCTTGTTACTTCAAGTGCAAATCCGAAGATTATTTATCAAATGCTGGAGTTTTCCTAACGTTTTGTTAAGCTAATATCTAATAGATACATATTATATAGATAATCTATGTGCATTTATGTGTATGCTGTAGAAGACATGAGGAAATATTAACAAATAATAAAACTTTCAAATCAATAAGTTTAGAACATGGACTAGTGCAACTAACAGTAAAGATACACGAAACAAGTGAGATAAAGCTATAAGCACTGTAACACGTTAAACAGACTGTTTAACAGCTAGTAGACTACTTAAACCCCTACATCAGAGATCAGAGAGTTTTATGCTCAGTTTCTAATCCACCAGACTCACCAGGTTACTAGGTTACTGGGTTACTAGGTTACCAGACTCACCAAGATAACATATAGTGGGTAGTTGTTTCTTAGAAGTCTGAAGTAATAATTCACAGTACCATCAGCTGAACAATTTGTTATTACTTCAGGAGGCGTACGCGGCGTTTAAGAACAAGTACTTGTACCACAACTACCTTGACGGACATGCTGGTTGCCATAGAGACCTCAGGAACCTGATGTGCTTTCTCTACTTTCCCAGATGTCCAGGGAACAGTCCGCCCGCCTCACCTACCAACTTTCCTTGTAAAGATATGTGTACTGACGTTAGAAACGTAAGTTACTAGGTTACTGGGTTACTGGGTTACTAGGTTACTGGGTTACTAGGTTACTAGGTTACTAGGTTACTAGGTTACTAGATTACTAGGCTACTGCGTTACTAGGTTACTGTCTGACGTTTTAGAGAGCTCTTCATTCTTTCAGAGCTGACATTTCAAACGAGTTCTGTTGGTGAGGTTTGGTTAGTACTGGGGTTACGGTTGGGGTCAGGGTTGCGTTACGGTTAGGGGTCAGGGTTGCGTTACGGTTGGGGTCAGGGTTGCGTTACGGTTAGGAATCTACGCTTTAGTTAGGAAGGTAAAGGGTAAAGTCACGTATAAATCTGAGATGAGATGTCGCGCCGCTTGACTTGGCTTGGCGGCTGCCGTCGCGCCCCTATAGACAAATAGAGTCTATTCGTCTTCTTATTTCACATAAAATCATGCGGTTAAGCTGTCATATTACTATTTTATAAGAAATGTAAAATATTGCGAACGTTTCCCCAAACTGACAGCTCCCAAGCAAATCCAATGATAGGTTACTATATTAATGACCTTATTTTCGGCGCTTTCCTTTTATCTTTTAAACGACGTGTTATGATCTGTTCTGAAATTTTTCAATTCATTTCACGAAATATTCTCCGTAAAACAATAAAACATGTTCATCATAAGCACAAACACTATGCACAGGGAGACTAAAGTGCAAAGAAGTTACTAGATTACTAGGTTACTAGGTTACTAGATTACTAGGTTACTAGATTACTAGGTTACTAGATTACTAGGTTACTAGATTACTAGGTTACTACGTTACTACGTTACTAGGTTACTAGGTTACTAGATTACTAGGTTACTAGGTTACTAGATTACTAGGTTACTACGTAAAGCACAAACACTATGATAACACATATGAAACTAACACTGTCTAAATCTCTGAGTTTGGAACATTTGGTCTGTCGGCTAGTTTTTCTGTCTTTACTGAGATTTCTTCCTGTTCTCAACAACAGGAAAACTAATTGCCGTCATAACAACAGAAACCATAAGTGACGTCATAGTATGTATTTGTGACGTTAATAAAGTAATAACTGATAGAATCCTGTATATTTCAAGAGGGTGATTTCCTTTTTAGAAATAATCTGTTTTGGGTACCTTCTGACTTTGCACTATAGTCCCCCTGCGTGACGTGTATTTACCTGTTGATTCTTGACACTCTCTATTCGTCTTTTGTCTAAATTCACCAATAAAACAAACTTGTCATTCCCCTGACGGGTGACTTACCTGTACAGTACAGTTATAGTAGGGCTGAATATGCTACTGATTTGTCAATCTCTGGCGGTGAGTTTATAAAAAATAGGTTTTTTGTGAAAAAAGGGCGGATAATTGGTGAAGGAACAAGGATGTGCTGTGCAGTGAATCACTACAAGCTAAAGGGGGGTACCACCCCACAGTATGTACTAATACCACCTACTACTAGTGCCACCTAATATTGCACGTGCTAGTGCACGTGCTAGTTAGTGCACGTGCTAGTTAGTGCACGTGCTAGTTAGTGCACGTGCTAGTTAGTGCACGTGCTAGTTAGTGCACGTGCTAGTTAGTGCACGTGCTAGTTAGTACACGTGCTAGTTAGTGCACGTGCTAGTTAGTGCACGTGCTAGTTAGTGCACGTGCTAGTTAGTGCACGTGCTAGTTAGTGCACGTGCTAGTTAGTGCACGTGCTAGTTAGCGCACGTGCTAGTTAGCGCACGTGCTAGTTAGCGCACGTGCTAGTTAGCGCACGTGCTAGTTAGCGCACGTGCTAGTTAGCGCACGTGCTAGTTAGCGCACGTGCTAGTTAGCGCACGTGCTAGTTAGCGCACGTGCTAGTTAGCGCACGTGCTAGTTAGCGCACGTGCTAGTTAGCGCACGTGCTAGTTAGCGCACGTGCTAGTTAGCGCACGTGCTAGTTAGTGCACGTGCTAGTTAGTGCACGTGCTAGTTAGTGCACGTGCTAGTTAGTGCACGTGCTAGTTAGTGCACGTGCTAGTTAGTGCACGTGCTAGTTAGTGCACGTGCTAGTTAGTGCACGTGCTAGTTAATGAACGTGCTAGTTAGTGCACGTGCTAGTTAGTGCACGTGCTAGTTAGTGAACGTGCTAGTTAGTGCACGTGCTAGTTAGTGCACGTGCTAGTTAGTGTACGTGCTAGTTAGTGCACGTGCTAGTTAGTGCACGTGCTAGTTAGTGCACGTGCTACCACCCTACTACATGGTACCACTTTTATACTTAAAACCTTCACCAGCCAAGGTGTGAAAAATATTTATTTATAGTTTTCAAAAAACACATACATGACAGATCACATACGTGCTCCTACCGCCAAACAAATAACTCAAGATGTCATAATTGCCAATGAAGAAATCGATGATGCTTAAAACCAGACTTTGGCAGTATCCAGCCCGACACGTGTTTAACATCAAGGTATTAAAATTCTGATTTTTAATTTTTTCTAAATTTCGAGCATAACGTTTTTGTCTAACAAACCATTGGTTCTATAAAATCCCTCTCTAGGGCTAGGTCCTATATATCAATCTGCACAAGGCTGGGTGTAAACTACTGATTGGCGATCACTAAATTAGTTCCTGCTATAATACTAAAAAATGGTTTATCGGTTCCTGTTTTGAAGTAACATTATGGGCTGTGGGTGAAGTATCTAATTAACGGATTAGCTAATTACCTAATTAACTAATTAACTAAAGAATCTCGCAGAGTTGTGAGAAGTTTCTGGAACCTTCTTACACGTGGGAGTTTAACTGCAGTCTGATAGAAGACGGGCAGGACTGTGTCAGAAACAGGAGAGATTTACAACAGGACGCTACAGTTCCATCACCTACACTACAACAGGGTCAGTACTTATCTGTACTAGGTTACTAGGTTACTAGGTTACTAGGTTACTAGGTTACTAGGTTACTAGGTTACTAGGTTACTAGGTTACTAGGTTACTAGGTTACTAGGTTACTAGGTTACTAGGTTACTAGGTTACTAGGTTACTAGGTTACTAGGTTACTAGGTTACAGTCCCTTTCCCTACTCTACAGTAAGGTCAGTGCTTTTTCAACATTTTTCGTCACGTAATTTGAACGCTTTGATCAGCGTTGTGTTGGTGATGGTCTGATAACGTTTTAGTGAAATGAGTTCGTAACAGGGTCTAGCAGATCAGGTCTAACTTTAAAAGGTCTAGCATTAGAGGGGGACACACCTAGAATTAGAGGGGGACACACCTAGAATTCCTGAATAATCCCAACTTTGTAAGGTTTATCCTAGTAACTTATCGCAGCTAATCTAGCAAATCACAGAATAATCAGAATACTCCAGACTGTTATTACACTCAGTGGGGGCGGCACATAAGTACACTTCCTCGTTACTTACCATTCAACTCTTATACTGCCTACACAAGTACACTTCCTCGTTACTTACCCTTCAACTCTTATACTGCCTACACAAGTACACTTCCTCGTTACTTACCCTTCAACTCTTATACTGTCTACACAAGTACACTTCCTCGTTACTTACCCTTCAACTCTTATACTGTCTACACAAGTACACTTCCTCGTTACTTACCCTTCAACTCTTATACTGCCTACACAAGTACACTTCCTCGTTACTTACCCTTCAACTCTTATACTGCCTACACAAGTACACTTCCTCGTTACTTACCCTTCAACTCTTATACTGTCTACACAAGTACACTTCCTCGTTACTTACCCTTCAACTCTTATACTGCCTACACAAGTACACTTCCTCGTTACTTACCCTTCAACTCTTATACTGCCTACACAAGTACACTTCCTCGTTACTTAATACTTACCCTTCAACTCTTATACTGTCTACACAAGTACACTTCCTCGTTACTTACCCTTCAACTCTTATACTGCCTACACAAGTACACTTCCTCGTTACTTACCCTTCAACTCTTATACTGCCTAGACAAGTACACTTCCTCGTTACTTACCCTTCAACTCTTATACTGCCTACAATCCCCCCCCCCCCCCCCCTGAACTAACTTGCTTCGATTCTTCTTTTTTTTCAAAATTAAATCTTATCTAACAAATAACTTTGCAGAGAAGATCACGTGTTAGTAGATTTTAAAAAACTTTGCAGAGAAGATCACTTGTTAGTAGATTTAACAAATAACTTTGCAGAGAAGATCACTGTTAGTAGATTAACAAATAACTTTGCAGAGAAGATCACGTGTTAGTAGATTTAACAAATAACTTTGCAGAGAAGATCACTGTTAGTAGATTTAACAAATAACTTTGCAGAGAAGATCACGTGTTAGTAGATTTAACAAATAACTTTGCAGAGAAGATCACTGTTAGTAGATTAACGAATAACTTTGCAGAGAAGATTACGTGTTAGTAGATTAACGAATAACTTTGCAGAGAAGATCACGTGTTAGTAGATTAACAAATAACTTTGCAGAGAAGATAACGTGTTAGTAGATTTAAAAAAACTTTGCAGAGAAGATCACGTGTTAGTAGATTAACAAATAACTTTGCAGAGAAGATAACGTGTTAATAGATTTAACAAACAACTTTGCAGAGAAGATCAATGTTAGTAGATCTAACGAATAACTTTGCAGAGAAGATCACGTGTTGGTAGATTAACATATAACTTTGCAGAGAAGATCACTGTTAGTAGATTAACAAATAACTTTGCGGAGAAGATAACGTGTTAGTAGATTAACAAATAACTTTGCAGAGAAGATAACTGTTAGTAGATTTAACAAATAACTTTGCAGAGAAGATCACGTGCCGATACGACCAGTTCCGATGTGCGGATAACAAAGGTTGTATTCCTCTAACTCAGAGATGTGACGGACTTATAGATTGCAGTGATATGAGTGATGAAACAAAATGTGGTAAGTAGTGTTAGTATTATTATTATACCACTATTATAGTAGTATTCAAGTATTATAAGTTCTATTATAAGTTATCTTATTTGTAGTAGTAACAATTATTCATTGTTGTTACATATCAATAATTGTAATTAAGTTATTACTCGTTATAATCAAGAAGCAAGTATCTTCAGTTGTCGGTACTGTTTTAATTAGTTATCAATCTATATATTACATAGTAGCCCTATCTTTGTAGGTATTTGTTAATTATATTGTTTATCTTGCAAACTATTTATAAGTCCGTAACTTACTATCAGTCTCCTATTTTATTCAAAACTTAAATAAAGTCTGTAAGTTGGATGGAATCTTTACTAATAATATAATAATTAAATAATAATAATGCGAACGGGTTATTTATTAGACTTCATCAATTCTTATAAATTATAGTTTATACATATTTTTGTCACGGTTGATTGATATCCAGTGATTCAGAGATATTTTATATAAGAATACAGGCTTCTCTGATAACCTACAGAACTTATTCTGTTTTTAAAACAAATAATACTTATTTAGATTCTAGGAAGTGCGGTGAAAGTCAATCTGGTTTCAGATTTGTAGTGTTTTATTTATTAAACAACTATATGATCTGAGAGACCTTAATTGGTAATTCAGTAGTTTAGAAGTACTGCACGTCTTTACTTAGAAGAGATCTATCAACATCAATTATAGCTGAATCCCGGCAACTAATAAATATTATAAAGGAGTTGTCAGCACGTGCTAGGAGCTGGTTGTCGCTGATCCTAGCGTTAAATCCACCCTTCCTAAAAACCTGGTCAGTCCAGGATAAAGCTGTGGCGTTTGGGCGCCAAAGTAAAAAGTCGGGTAGTTCGGCACGTGCACCAAGTGTTACGATTACTCTGTAGAGATATCCGCACGTGCACCAACTGTTACGATTACTCAGTAAAGATATCTGCACGTGCAACATTAGTATCCTAGGTCACGTTACAAAGGTAGGATCAGAGCAAACTATTATTTTCCTAAATCAGCTTAACCATGATCACATAATCACGTCACAGAATTGCAGTTTAAGGCCTGACAGTGACTGGTAAATGCTATGATTTAAGAAGGCGAGGACTGAGGACTTTCAACGCTTCTTCTGTATAATGGTAACCATGGTCACGACGTCTGATGTCCCCGACGTTGCATTAACCTCAAGACTTCCAGTTAAACCTATTACCTAACCCCAACTAGAAGTACTAGAATACTAGATAGCAGTTTACCACAGACCGTTACCATGGTTACCACAGACCGTTATCATGGTTACCACAGGGTACAGACCACCTCGACTATCGACCAAATGTCAATCAATGTTTACATAACAGGGGCTACTAGCTAGACAAAGAAACGTTATATTTAGGCGGATAAGTTGTGACTAGATTACCATTTATGGTATTGTTACCATGGGCACGTTATAACCTTATGTGGTAGTGACATGAAACATGGAAGAATAAAATGTCCGTTCCACAAGAGGAGGGAGCAGTCTTTTCGCATTGACTATAAAACGTAATTCTAACAGTTACCATGGTTACTTAGGGTATTGCAGTAATTCTAACAGTTACCATGGTTACTTAGGGTATTGCAGTAATTCTAACAGTTACCATGGTTACTTATGGTATTGCAGTAATTCTAACAGTTACCATGGTTACTTAGGGTATTGCAGTAATTCTAACAGTTACCATGGTTACTTAGGGTATTGCAGTAATTCTAACAGTTACCATGATTACTTAGGGTATTGCAGTAATTCTAACAGTTACCATGTTTACTTAGGGTATTGCAGTAATTCTAACAGTTACCATGGTTACTTAGGGTATTGCAGTAATTCTAACAGTTACCATGTTTACTTAGGGTATTGCAGTAATTATAACAGTTACCATGGTTACTTAAGGTATTGTAGTAACTCTAACAGTTACCATGGTTACTTAGGGTATTGCAGTAATTCTAACAGTTATCATGGTTGCTTAGGGTATTGCAGTGATCCTAACAGTTACCATGGTTACTTAGGGTATTGCAGTAATCCTAACAGTTACCATGGTTACTCAGGGTATTGTAGTAATTCTGTCAGTTACCATGGTTACTCAGGGTATTGTAGTAATTCTAACGGTTACCATGGTAACTCAGGATATTGTAGTAATTCTAACAGTTACCATGGTGGCATGGTTACTTGGGGGTATTGCAGTAATTCTAACAGTTAGCATGGTTACTTGGGGGTATTGCAGTAATTCTAACAGTTAGCATGGTTACTTAGGGTATTGCAGTAATTCTAACAGTTACCATGGTTACTCAGGGTATTGTAGTAATTCTAACAGTTACCATGGTTACTTAGGGTATTGCAGTAATTCTAACAGTTACCATGGTTACTTATGGTATTGCAGTAATTCTAACAGTTACCATGGTTACTTAGGGTATTGCAGTAATTCTAACAGTTACCATGGTTACTTAGGGTATTGCAGTAATTCTAACAGTTACCATGATTACTTAGGGTATTGCAGTAATTCTAACAGTTACCATGTTTACTTAGGGTATTGCAGTAATTCTAACAGTTACCATGGTTACTTAGGGTATTGCAGTAATTCTAACAGTTACCATGTTTACTTAGGGTATTGCAGTAATTATAACAGTTACCATGGTTACTTAAGGTATTGTAGTAACTCTAACAGTTACCATGGTTACTTAGGGTATTGCAGTAATTCTAACAGTTATCATGGTTGCTTAGGGTATTGCAGTGATCCTAACAGTTACCATGGTTACTTAGGGTATTGCAGTAATCCTAACAGTTACCATGGTTACTCAGGGTATTGTAGTAATTCTGTCAGTTACCATGGTTACTCAGGGTATTGTAGTAATTCTAACGGTTACCATGGTAACTCAGGATATTGTAGTAATTCTAACAGTTACCATGGTGGCATGGTTACTTGGGGTATTGCAGTAATTCTAACAGTTAGCATGGTTACTTGGGGGTATTGCAGTAATTCTAACAGTTAGCATGGTTACTTAGGGTATTGCAGTAATTCTAACAGTTACCATGGTTACTCAGGGTATTGTAGTAATTCTAACAGTTACCATGGTTACTCAGGGTATTGTAGCAGTAACGCGTATCAATGTGACAATGGAAAGTGTGTTAATCACCTGCAGACTTGTGATGGGTACGACAACTGTGGGGACGGTAGTGATGAGCGCGAGTGTGGTGAGTTGTTGCTATGGTTACTATGGTTACCTTAAAACTTAAGTTAATATCTTTGTTCCATACAAAAAAACTACTTTTGATAAACACAAGAAGCCACGTTTTCATCTGCAGTACAATTTAAATAGTTTGATCCCGATTGGTGGCTGTTAACAGACTGCTTTTTGATTGTTGCTATGGTAACTACTTGTTATACCCTGTATTATTATTCTCCGCAGGAAGACCCAACTTGATACACTCTTTAATAGAAGATATGCTATCTTGTGACTGCAGTGACAACCAAGCTCTCCTACCTTCATATACCGACATCTGCATCACTCAAACTAGTAAGTTACCACGCAGTTTAGTTACCATGGTTACGTAGAAATGTCTTACCCACCAGTTGCCATGATTACACTTAACGTTAGTTACCAAATAACAAACTCCCTCCTCTCAGTATTAAAGGTGCGTGTGATAGAAGTTAAGTCTAATAAACTGAACTACAAGTACAAGTTCAGAGTGGAGAAGGTTTTGAAGGGAGACAGAGCTTTTACTGGCAAAAAAGTAAGTTACCATGGTTACTTAGGGTATTGCAGTAGCTCTGACAGTTATATACAACATAATAGTTAATAGTTAGATCCAATGGATCCTTAACTACTCCCTAGACTAGGTGACACTGGGATTCGAACCCTGAACCTTCTGCGCAGAAGGCGGATGCTCTAACCACTAGGCCACTACATGTTACCAAGTATATACAAGCGTTTTCGTTTCCGAATTTGTTGGTATCCCAGGCCAACTAGGATATTATGGTAAACCAACTAACTGGAACAAAAGATCTCCCAGGCAACGTATGAAATAAGGAAAGTAGACGGGTGTGACTGCAAGAAGAAGAAGTACCACAGGAAGAAACAACTGTTCGTATCGGGACAAATAACATCGTTCAGGTTTGTTTTGTTTGTTTATTTTATGAAGGAGCAAATTAAATGAAATCGGTTTGGGAATGCTTGTTAGGTCTTTACATTTTAGGTATTTCTTGCAAAATTGTGTCGAAACCCATTTTTTCATAATTTTGTACGTGAATTTAAGAATAGACATGAAATCTTAAATTTCTATTTATTCCCTGCAGGAAAAAGAAGAAAACAGCGCTGAGGATATCTGAGGCGAGTGACGGTAGTTTTGTAGTTCCAATTAACCTGGTGAACGGCAGCGACTTCAAACGTAATATTAAAGACTGTAGAATCTACTCCAGAAACTTTTCCCGGTCCCTGGCTAGGTGACCTTATTAAGTAAAGTTACCATGGTAACAATACTATAGTGTATAACAATATAGTAGTGTTGCCATGGTGATAATACCTTATATGGTAGTGTTACCGAGTCACTGTCTCGACTGAAGATTAAACAGAAGACATTGCGTTACAGTTCTAAAGATTGAGATCAGAGTTTTATGAGTGATGAAAGGTTTCAGAGTTAATTGATACTTAAATATAACATGACCTAATATTATGGTAGTGTAACCATGGTAACAGTACCTAATGTGGTAGTGTTACCATGGTAACAATACCAAATATGGATGTAATTGAGAGCCTTGTTATCAGGTTAACACTAATTGTTTCATTTCATATCCCTGAATGCGGGAATCAAATGATAATACCCTTTAAGTATTTTGTATTGAACTGCAGTTCTTAAATTGTATAGCTGAATTGCGGTTAAATTATATTTATTAACAACAATTATTCATCTTATCGGTTGTAATACGTGCATAATAGCGTGTAAAATTTTAGCCGTATGAATTTTGTTGCATATCAACCGATAAAGTAAGTAATAATTTACATGATCAATGGTAACCTGGTTGAATAATTACTATAACTATGGTTACCAAGTATTTAGGTATCATATGTTACCATGGTTACCAAGTATTTAGGTATCATATGCTACAATGGTTACCAAGTATTTAGGTATCATATGTTACCATGGTTACCAAGTATTTAGGTATCATATGTTACAATGGTTACCTCACTTACCAGGTATTTAGGTATCATATGTTATCATGGTTACCAGGTATTTAGTTATTATATGTTACCATGGTTACCAAGTATTTAGGTATCATATGCTACAATGGTTACCAAGTATTTAGGTATCATATGTTACCATGGTTACCAAGTATTTAGGTATCATATGTTACCATGGTTACCAAGTATTTAGGTATCATATGTTATCATGGTTACCAAGTATTTAGTTATTATATGTTACCATGGTTACCAAGTATTTAGGTATCATATGTTACAATGGTTACCAGGTATTTAGGTATCATATGTTACCATGGTTACCAGGTATTTAGGTATTATATGTTACCATGGTTACAAAGTATTTAGTTATTATATGTTACCATGGTTACCAGGTATTTAGGTATTACATGTTACCATGGTTACCAAGTATTTAGGTATCATATGCTACAATGGTTACCAAGTATTTAGGTATTTTATGTTACCATGGTTGCCAAGTATTTAGGTATCATATGCTACAATGGTTACCAAGTATTTAGGTATCATATGTTATCATGGTTACCAGGTATTTAGGTATTATATGTTACCATGGTTGCCAAGTATTTAGGTATCATATGCTACAATGGTTACCAAGTATTTAGGTATTTTATGTTACCATGGTTGCCAAATAGCTACGTATTTATCAAGTATTTTAGGTATCTTAATGATTTATTATTGACTAGTTGATTGTTACATCAGTAATTATTTTTATTTGATTTTATAACCTGTCGCGTTTATTGCTTCCAATTTAAATCAGTTTTATATTTATATTTCCCGAGTAGGTTTAAATAATTACCACTTAAACTCTTACAAACGGTCAACTAGTAACCCTAACCCAATCCTTAACAAAAGCATAATAAATGCTGAAACTCTAAACCTGACGAGAAATTAGACTAACTTCCTTTACGGTCATATCACGTGATCGAGACAGTGTTTCGCCAATATCTCGTCAGGGGAGCATTTTAACCCTATATCATGGGGGGTGATTCGGAATCAGCGTCCGAAAATACGTACAGTGCGATTGGTCGGCCGAGCATCACGTGATTGGTCAGCTCATCACGTTACCATGGTGATCTAAACGTGGGAAATTAGGCGATAAGGTTTGGCCTCTATAGGGCACTATACGGCCTCTATAGGGCACTATACGGCCTTTATACGGCCTCTATATGGCCTTTATACGGCCTCTATACGGCCACTACACGGCCACTATACAGCCTTTATACGGCCTCTATACGGCCTTTATACGGCCTCTATATGGCCTCTATACGGCCTCTATATGGCCTTTATACGGCCTCTATATGGCCACTACACGGCCTTTATACGGCCTCTATACGGCCTTTATACGGCCTATACGGACTTTATAGGTGAGCAATTCTATTCGGAGTGCCCTCACGTATCCAATAGTATTTAACTTAAATCAACGAATATAGGTTTATGTCAAAGATAAATACTATTGGTCTCAGCCGTTGGGATTCTGAGCCGTCGTTTACACTCCTTTTAGCCTGCATGTTTGAAATCGTCGAATTTTTGATGGCAATAATCAGGAAACATTGAAAATTGATGTCGTACTGGCCTCGTCGAAATTTGAATGGCACTAAAAGGAATGTGCTCCTCGAGCCCCCCCCCCCCCCCCCCAACCAAATGTTTATTAAATTCGTATCAAAGTCTGACGCTGCTGCTAACTCTGGCGCAAACTCTGGTGCAAACTTAAATAGTCTCAAACATAAAAATAAAATGTAAATCTCATCCATGCATTTTTGGTTCTGTGATATATATAAATCTATTTATAATACTCAGCCCAATAGTTACTATAGGCTTTCAAAACAGAAATGAAGCAGGAATTGCAATTCCCCTTTTATCAAAATCTATTTCTGAAAGCCAAGGATCTACACCAGTCCCAACTTATAGCTCAGTTATGCGGTACAGTAATATCTTAATATGATACAAAATATGTTTTGGGACGTTACATCTCAACTGTTTATTGCTAAATTAATGAGAGTAACTGGCAAAAAGCAACTGTCAGCTCTCATTTCATGAGCTAAAAGTGATAAAGAGAGAAGCTATTTAACCTCAAATACAACGTTAACTGTAACTGCCTGCTTTTCGGTTGTGTATTAAAATAAAGTATTTTTTAATTGCAGATAAATGTCTTCAAAACATTTCCCCCTCGAAAAGCCTACATACAGTTGGCCATGCGCGAACACGGGTTGAATACAGTCCTACTTTGTTGAATGTTTGGCCTTGGCTCTTATTAATTGTCATGCAGTACGCCAGGCGGACCGGATACTGGGTCCGTTGGAACTTGAACGGTATTGTTATATCAGACGTGATCAGTTTCACGCGGGGTATCAATACTTGACGTCCTATTGAAGCCTCATATCCGGATATTATTTCCGCTGCTATGCACCTATCGCCATATGCCTAACAATAAGCCTTGTGCCATTACATAGACCGTTCTTCAAATCCAAATTCCTTAGAAGCATGATTGGGCACCCATTTTTAGCTCAAGTTCATGCAAAGGGGAAAAAATTTGACCTCTATACGGCCACTATACGGCCTCTATACGGCCTCTATATGGCCTTTTGCAAATCACGTGATACCACCACTGGTGACCTGGTGACGTGACACACTGTGTGAGCTTGGATCACGCACAAGGCTATGGAGATAGAAATGTGTATTTAATCATTTATCTTATTGTAATTGTGTATTGACTGGGATTTATTATTACTATTCTAAATAAACCGAACTTCAATATCGGGAAAATGGGCGATTAGGTTTGGCCTCTATACGGCCACTTTACGGCCTCAATATGGCCTCTATATGGCCTTTATATGGCCTTTATACAGCCTCTATACGGCCACTATACGGCCTCTATACGGCCTTTATGCGGCCACTATACGGCCTCTAAACGGCCTTTGTACGGCCACTATACGGCCACTTAAAAGATTAATTACATGGCCTTTACACGGCCTCTAAACGGCCACACAAAAAATCTAATCTATGGCCTCCATGCGGCCTGTATATGGCCTCTATATGGCCTCTATATGGCCTCTATACAGCCTCTATACGGCCTCTAAACATCATATAACCATTATATGATCATCATAATATGGCCACTAAGCAAGTTAACACCTAACAAATGACCGCTTCCAGTTTACCGATATTTAGGGAAAATGGGCGATTAGGTTTGGCCTCTATATGGCCTCTATACGGCCTCTATATAGCCTCTATACGGCCACTATATGGCCCCTACACGAACACTATACGGCTATACGGCCTTAATACGGCGTCTATACGGCCTTTATACGGCCACTATACGGTCTTTATACGCCTATACGGCCACTATACGGCCACTATACGGCCTTTAAATGGCCTTTATACGGCCTCTAAGCTCTTAAATTCATAAATAATGCCAATCAAGAAAACAACAATTTCAAGAAAACAACAATTTTATTTAGTATCAATTAAAGCAGACAAAAATATATTTTATATATATATAACTAGCACGAACTTTAGATCAGATATCTTAGGGGACTTGGAGTAACAAGAGATTGACTAGAAGGTATATACCTTTTACAAAGATACGTCGAGAAGAATCCAGGGTGATACAGGATCGGAGAGTGCAGACCAAAAGTTTACGCACCCACCTTTGCCTCCTGAGTTCTTGGTTGGATAGAAAATAGAAATTTATGCAAACTTGGTCGTTTATACTCCAAGTCCCTTTCTTAAAAGAATTAGTATTAACTATGTCTAGAGTTAGCTTCGTTCAATAATAACAATATCAATATAATCAATATCAATACCAGATAAACCTACCGAATAAATTATTAAATATCAATCAATTAATTCATTCCGATAGAAAATTTTATAAATTTAGATATTTAGTATCTAAAAACATTACAACAAATGGTTAAAAAGCGCCCAAAATCGATTTGAAAGATTTTCTGTCTATAGTACAATCATGATAGTAATAGTAAGTGTGCACCGCTGCAAATAATCTGTGTCTGTCTGTCTGTCTGTCTGTCTGCCTGCCTGCCTGCCTGCCTGCCTGCCTGCCTGCCTGCCTGCCTGCCTGCCTGCCTGCCTGCCTGCCTGCCTGCCTGCCTGCCTGCCTGCCTGCCTGCCTGCCTGCCTGCCTGCCTGCCTGCCTGCCTGCCTGCCTGCCTGCCTGCCTGCCTGCCTGCCTGCCTGCCTGCCTGCCTGCCTGCCTGCCTGCCTGCCTGCCTGCCTGTCTGTCTGTCTGTCTGTCTGTCTGTCTGTCTGTCTGTCTGTCTGTCTGTCTGTCTGTCTGTCTGTCTGTCTGTCTGTCTGTCTGTCTGTCTGTCTGTCTGTCTGTCTGTCTGTCTGTCTGTCTGTCTGTCTGTCTGTCTGTCTGTCTGCCTGTCTGCCTGTCTGCCTGTCTGTGTAATTCCCGAGCGGCTTAATCAAGAAAACGGTAATAGTTACGGGACTGGTTTTTTCGGTATAGTTTCGACAATTCATATATAATGCCATGTTGAGTTTCTACACTCTCTAACACCTAGCGGCTTGCCTTGTAGAGGCCGTGTAGAGGCCGTATAGAGGCCGTTTAGAGGCTGTATAAAGGACATGTAATATATCTCTTAAGTGGCCATATAGTGGCCGTATAGAGGCTGTATAGAGGCCGTATAAAGGCCGTATAGAGGCCGTGTAGAGGCCGAGTAGATGCCGTATAAAGGCCGTGTAGAGGCCGTATAGAGGTCGTATAGTGGTCGTATAGTGGCTGTATAGAGGCCAAACCTAATCGCCCAATTTCCCATTATTCTAGTATAAAAAGAGATGATATTTGACAAAAACCCAAATCATAGGTAGAATGGACCGCTGCCAGTGTTTCTCTTTTCCAAACAAAAAGAAATGATATTAATTTGAATAACCGTCCACAAATGCAAATTGATACCGAGAATGAAATCGGTCGCTCGCTTTACCCATTTAATAAGCTTGTTTGGAAAAGAGAGACACAAATAGAGTCAACTCTACCCATGATTATGGGTTTGGTCAAATTAAAATATTAAATTAATTGACGTTTTAAATCATAGTTACTGAAAAGCTGCAGCAATTTGCGAGAATAAATAAATACACCTACGCTTGTAAAAAAACTTGTTAAATATATTTTATAGACGATTTACTACGTTGCTAAGTGACCACAATGTGTTAAGTATCTCCAATATAGCAGTACACGAGAACCTGTAACACATTCCTACGACCTACATTCCCAGTTTACACCCCACCCCACCCCAACCCACCCCACCCCAACCCACCACACCACACCACACCACACCACACCACACCACACCACACCACACCACACCACACCACACCACACCACACCACACCACACCACACCACACCACACCACACCACACCACACCACACCACACCACACCACACCACACCACACCACACCACACCACACCACACCACACCACACCACACCACACCACACCACGGGACAACACAGGACAAGACGGGACAGGGTACGGGACAGTAAAACTTATAATAAGCATTAATAAGCACAGTTAAACTAACAAACCTTACCTTTTTACGGTGCGATGATAGTCTGCTGCAGTAAAGATAGTTCCTCAGCTGGATGGTTGACGAAGGAAAAATCAAGGGACGGGGCAATCATACCACACCACGGGACAACGAACCCAGTAAAACTTAATGGCTGGCGGTATTACTAGAGGTGGTTTAATTTAAACAGACA